CCTGAGAGACAGTGTCAGAATTCAAGAGCCTAAATTCTCCATCACCTGCATGAATCAAAAGGCACTACTTGCCCTCTCAGCTAATGAAAATTAGGAGCCATATTAAAATATGTTAGTTGAACACTTCTCATGGTCTTGAAAATTAATTATGTGGAATTTTCTTTTCTAGGTAAAACAAATGTATCTTCAAGTGGCCAAGAGGATGAAAGAGTATGAAAGTGAAAAATACAGTCAGTGGAGAATGGAGACAGAGCACATCCTCCCACAGTTACTCAGAGATACTCTGCTGACTGTCATCACTGGGGAGGCTGCAACCCATGTTAATCCAGAGACTTCTGAGCAGGTGAGATCTGGGAAGTAGGTGTTCCATACTTCTCTGTGGGGGAAGAGCAAAAACCAATCTGATGGTTAGGAAGATTTTTCTAAGAATAATATTTTTAAACACAGTTTTTGAAAGGAAAATTTCAAAAGTTATGAGCTCAGAATTCTTTGTGGTCCTTTATAAGATATAGTTGCTGAGTGACCTGGCAAATGGATGAATGTTCTTCCTCTGTGCATTCAGGGCTGTAATTCCTGTAATTTTGGGGGTTTTGGTGTAACATCTTTGGGACATCAGGATCATGCAGAATCCTGTTCTGATGAAACTGTCATCTGATTATGTACTTCCACTGTTTCTTGTAATCAGCTTTCACTGAGGAGGCAGTTGTGTGTAATTTCTGAAACTAGAATGCTGAGGTTGCTGTCAAATTTTAAAGGCATTTCCACAAGCTCTGAATGTCAGCCATTCTGATTTTTATCTACTTCCTTATCAAATGTCTCCAACAGCTGACCTGTTCCTTGCATTGTAACTGGTTGATGTTCCTCTCCTTTCTGCTGCTCTTCCTGTGTTGTAGAGCTCTGCAACAGAGGATCCTGCCACCACTAAGAGCAGCATCCACTTCATTGTGAATTTTTCTCCCAGACTCCAAGAGCTTATAATTGAAACCAAGTACATGGAACAACTAGGGCTGCCAGTCCCAGAAATGGCAAAATATGTGGCATTACAGGAGGACAAATACCTTAGGTAAGGCTGTAACAGAGTAGCTGCTCACATACAGACTTAGGGCAGTGTTTCAAGTGATTTCACTCCAAACCAGAATGGATCCCAAGTCATGACATTTTGTGACAAGCCTGGAGTGACTTTTTTTAATGGGTAAAATTACTAATGGCCATGTTGCATCAGTAGGCTTTTCTGTGGTGCTGTCTGCGTCCTTTACCCTGTAGGACCATGTCATACAAATTAACATCTCATCAAATCTGAGAAAAAACAAGGCAAGCAATTTGTTTTAAACGAATTTTTAGTGCTATTTAAATTTCAGCTCACATTTAAACTCACTGCTGCTTTCTTCATGTACAGCTTTGGACAAGTCACTGTTCAGTTCTTTTATGTGTTTCAAACTGAGGCTGTCTTAAAAACTAAGAAGCTAGAGGGTTTGTCTAGCTGCTATGGGTGCCATTTTTTATGTTTTTGTTTTGTTTTCAATGGGAAATCAATTGGCTTTATAATCAATACATATTCAGTGGTTATTTCTGCAAATTGTGCTTTATATGGATGTCTGAATGGAATGATGGGAGTGATCTGATCTTTGATCTGAGTTCAGAGCTGTATTTCCAGAAAATTATTTTTGTTTTGTTGTTGTTATTGTGTTAATTACACTCCTTAGATATAAAAATAGATTGGAACACATGCTGGATCAGTATCACAGATTATTGGGAACACTGAATGAAGCAGAAACCAAACTTCTTTATGACTATATTCAAGAACTCTGGAGCGTATTCAAATCAGGGCACAGAAGAGTCACATGGAACTCTGCAGGTAATGGAGAGACTATTTTAAAATGGCCTCAGATATCGATTTTCAGTTAAAGAATGTCTTCAGTTCTGCAATCTATTTTTTATATGTCATATGACAGCAATATATCCCTAAATGGAACATCCTGTTGCCACAGTCAGAGTTAGAACAGTAGGTAAAATAGTCTCTGATCCAGGAGAGTTTCTATTATATTTAAAACACTAAATGGAAATGAATGGAGACCCTTAGATAACAGCTGTAAGGGAGCTGGATGAAGGATTAGGTGAGAAACCACCTGATACCTTTTTCTACAGAGCATCAGTTAATTCTCAGAGACACAGCACATCTGGCTGTGGCAGTTTTGATGCATTGGTGAAATATTTCTTTAAAGAAAAAACCTACAAATGTTTGTGATTCATTTCAAGGTGTGGATGAGTTTATTTTCCGGAGTTCCCAGGCCATCAAGGAGTTTGAATCACTTGTCCATCAGATTCATAATCACTCTGAAGACATAAGCAACAAACTTCTGTTCATAGAATCAACAAATCTCTTTAAGTTTCCACTGTCAAAAAATGGTGATAAACTTCCTGGTAAGTCTTTATGTTTTCATTCCCAAGCTCTGTGATATTTTATATTGCTCTCTGCTACTTAGCACTTCTACTTGTTGTGATCAACCCTTGTAATTCTCACCAAAAGTAGTTCCAGTGTTTCATGGAGGAACAGAGGAAGTAAAAGCAGAACTTCATTATTCTGAATTTGATGGTGTTAATGAGAGAAAGATAGAGATGAGTATAGAAGTAGATTGTTTGACTTGTGTTTACCTTGCAAAAAGTACCTTTCCCCCTAGCTTTCCCCTGATTTCCTTGTCCTCCTTCTATGCAGTAGTGTAGCCTTAGAGCTACACATGGACTGTCAGCTCCTTCTGGGCCATCTGAACTAAACTGGTTTCCTCAGATGGAAATTGCAGTGAGGCAATTGTCTCCCAGGTCTCCTTGTCACATGAGTGTGTGATGGATCAAATTGCTTGCACCACTTTGCAAGTCTGGAGAAGGTTATTTTCACATCTAATGGTTGCTGATGAATCCATATAGAATGAGAGAGCTGGAATACTAATAAATTAAGCATTAAAAACTGAAGATTTTTTTGGTCAGTATACAAGATCAACTTCATATTCACTACTAAAGCCCAGCTAATTATTCCAGTCTGCGAGTCTATTGGATCTTTTGCAGTTAATAACACTACTTTTGTATCTTTTGCAGAAGCAAAAGAATTTTTTGAGTATGTGAAGTGTGAGAGAGCGAAAGATGTGGCACACATGGTTAGGAAGTACACTGCCATTCCACAGTTGCTCATGGAAGTGGAAAACCAAGTTGCCAATACAAAAAGTGGCAAATCTCCAAAATTAACTTCCTATTTTGCCTACTGGGAAAACAGGATTTATCAGGTGTTGACACAGTTAATTTTGAAGTAAGTCAACTGTTTGCATTAATAGATTTTCAGTCTTTCCGCTTCAGGTTTTTCTGGATCTGTTGATCAGTGGCTACACTGATACTCTCTAGGAACTCCTCAGTGAGTTGCAGTTTAAGGCAGTATTTTTACCTTTTTTTTTCTTTTTCCTGTGAATAATGGAGGGCTGATAACAAGGTACAGGAGGAACCCAAATTCTGAGAAAATGGATCTGTTCGTGTCATTAGCAGAAGAGAGGAAGAAGATACTTTTTCTGCTGTGTGTGTAGTTGCATACCCCTGGCTTATTTTTAAAATCAAGGTTTTGTTTTACAAAAGAATTATCAGAATTCTGTCAGGGTGCCAGATGCATCCCTGTGATGTAGGGGACATCAGTACATGAACAAAGGTTAGTTGGATTTTACTTTACCTGCCCTGCAGCAGCTGGGCAGAAGGAGGTTCCTGTAGCAAAACATTATAAAGACTTATATTGTAAGCAAGATATTATTACAATAGTGCATTGTAGGGTTATAAAAGCTTCCCAACCATCTCTTCTTCTTACGATCAGCTGACTCCATTGTGCTTTCTTGGCTGGACTCTTGCAGTAGAGTTGACCACAGACTCAGTATCCTTTTAAACCAGGGTATCCCCATTCATTCCTTCCAATAGCTTTTTTCAGCTAGTCAAGCTTTTGCATTAGATGAGTATTAGTGGGGCAGTTTTGCTCTGGTGCACACCAGTGTTCCCAGCTGCAATCAATGGTAATTGACTTCAGACAGATCTGCCTACATATGGAAGTACACACCTGGTAATTGCAGTCTGTGTTGGGCATTTCCATGGGGGACAGCACCTGTTTATTAGAATGTTCAACATATTTTTTTGTCCTTTCTCAGGAATTTGCAGGCTTTTAATGCAGCTGTTCTTGCAAATGTGCCACTGCTCCAAGCAGAAGCTCTTTTATCTGCTCATGAGATAATCTTGCAACCTAGTGCCAGTGAGATTGACAAAATGGCTGCACAATGTGTTCAAGACTGTGTTGAGGTCACCAAGGTGATTTTTGATAAAGATTTACTTGTTGTCAGAGTTTGCTTGTGATTGTAATGAATAATCTTGCTTTATCTTTGGGAGGAATAAATGTCAAGGGGAAGATTCATATTGCTTTCTCTTGAAATCAAAATACCCAGTACATTGTTCTAATTTTACAGACTGACCTAATTTTACAAACTGATGATGAAGGGAAAAAAACAAACAAACCATAAACCTTAATGCAATTTTTACTCAGGGAAGATTGTTGCTTTCCTGCAGTTTTGACAGTGCAAGGTCATTATTTGGTTCTATATACATCAGAAGGAAATACTTTTCTGATTGCAATACAGGTGTTGTTTTCTGATGTATGAATAATCTGGTGGAATAAGGCATGTGTGCAGCCTTCTCTAATTTATGGCCCTTCTCAAAAGCAGCAGAAAACCAGTTCAGAAAATGCTGGGAGAAGGGCATCTAGGATGGATACAGGGCAGCAGATTTATAGCAGACAAAATATCTAACTTGCTGGCAAAGTTGTAGCAGTATTTTCCTGCAGAAGTGTGTTCTCATTGAACTGCTTTCCAGAAAAGAAGCCAAACATTGTGGCAGTGTTCCTGCCCTGTGCTGATGGAGAAATAATTCCAGATGTCACCCGAAAGGAATATATTTATATTAAACGTGCTTCCTATGCTCAGATTTGCTGTTCTACTCCACTGCTGCATCCAGCCTTTTTGATCTAATACCCATTTCTCTGGGTCATGCTGTACAGTTGCTCAGTGGAGATTTAAAAAGCAAACTGAGCAATGCATGGAAATGTTTTGTTTGGCTGAAACTAACTATTTTCTCAAGTTTCTGGGAAAATGTAATATTTTCTTGCTTTATTTGAGAAATCATGCATACCACCTCCTCCATAGTCTTCTAAATAATAATGACTGATTTGACTAAAATAACTCTCTACAAAGTAACAGTTTTTCAACCCTGTCTTGAAAACTCTAGCATTTTGTACGGTGGATGCATGGTACATGTATTGAGTGCCCTCCTCAGCCTGTAAACGAAGATGAAGTTACCACTTTCAGCTTTTACAGTGACATTTCCCAGAACCCTCTGGTGGTTGAACAGGCTGTTCTCATCACTCAGAATGTCCACAAACCCCTGGCTTCTCTCAGCAAGTATTTGAACCAATGGAAGAGGTATGAGAGGCTGTGGAAATCAGACAAAGACAAAGTAATGGAAAAGTTAGCTGCAGAAAAGGCTGCTTGTGTCACCTTTGATGATGAGTTGCAGTTCTATTCAAAGGTAGCTGAAGAAGTGGCTCAACAGCCTTTGATTAAAGATGAGCAGTTTATCAGGCTTCAGCTGGCTCCTTTAGCCTGCACACTGCAGGAACATGCTAGAGTCTGGATGTCTTCACTTGGGAAGTTGCTTAATAAGTCTGCAAGAGAGGAACTCCTCAGTCTTGAGGAGAAGATTCAGGTGGGTGTTTTCAGCTCCTGTTGCACGATATAGCTAGCACTGAGTAGTGGGTGAGGGTCTGAACCATGCTCCAGATAGTTTCAAGCCATCTGGTGTTTTCTGGTATGTCATACATAAAGAGGGGAGCTGACTCTCTCTGTAGCTGGGAAACAGGAGAGAGCACTAACATGAAAACCCAGGACTCTTTCACTCCTGTACTGGTAATTCCCTTTAAACTTCTCCTTACAACTTCTATTTTGTTGTACCAAAAACATCCCTTCTGTACTGGGGTTTACTTTTTGTTGATTTTTGGGGTGTGTGTGTTATCTTTAGCACATAGACTGAAAACTGAAATTAATCTGCATGTTATTTATTTGTGTTTTGTGTTTCACTAATAATTATAATTTTGCCTAATCACTTTGTTGCTTCTGGAAATTATTTTTACTTTTTACAGAGCTTATCACAGAGTCTTAAGATATGTCCGGATTCCCTGGATGATCTGAGAATTGTCCTTGGCACAATTGCACAGATCAGGCTCATGTCCTTCGATGTGGAACTGAAATACTTAGACATATGGGAGAGATACCAAACTCTTACAATGTATAATATTTCAGTAAGTGCCTTGTTTCATAAAACATTTCAGATTTGAGCTAGGGCCACAAATGCCTCACATTTGAATGAATAAATACTTTTCTTCTAAGGTATTTTATGGAATCACAATATTGTTGGGGTTAGAAGTGATGTCTGGAGATTTGTCCAGTCCAAACCCCCTTCTCAAAACTGTATCTTCACTTTAAAATGGACATATTGCATGGGTTTCAATCTGATTCAGATCACTTCAATGCTGGTTCCAAACCCCCTTCTCAAAACTGTATCTTCACTTTAAAATGGACATATTGCATGGGTTTCAATCTGATTCAGATCACTTCAATGCTGGTTCTGTGTTTTGAAAATTTATAATGTGAACACATATTCCTCACTTCCTTGTGAGAGACGTTACTTGTGCTTTAGGTAGATGAAGAGGAGCAAGAGATGGCCAACAAGATTAAGGAGAAGTGGGAGGCTCTCTTCTTTGAAGCATCAGAAGTTAATCACAACCTTGGAGGCATAAAAACAACATTTGCAAAGGTAACATTTGTAATTAATCTTGGGGAAAAAAAAGAAGTAAAAAGAAATGGAAAGGAAAACAATTTAAACACTCTTCTCTTTAGGTTACACAGCAACAGGTTGAGGACTACCACAAAGAGACAGAAAATTTCTTCCAAAAATTCATGACCGAAGGGCCTGGTGCTGTTGGAGAAAATCTTGATAAAGGTAAATGGATTAATCTATGTAAAGGGATTTCTTAAAAATATTAGTCTTTGGACAATTCTTCACATTTATGAAGAACAAGAGAATTATGTTTTCCTTATTACCATACAAACTGATCAACCAAGAATGAGGTATTTTTAGTACTCTACCTTCTAAAGACTCTGTGCAAATAATATCTTATTTATTCCCCATGACCTGTGGGATTGTTTATCTAGAAAAATTCCTTTCCTTTCCCAGGATTGGAACTGTTGGCCATTTTTGAGAAAGAACTGGAACGCCTGGAACGAAATAAGCAGGAACTGGGCAGTGTTGAGAAACTTTTAGACATGCCAGTTACAGCATACTCTGACTTACTGCAAGCACAGAAACATATGAGAGGTCTAAAGCAGATCTATGAAATTTATGAATTACAAAAGGTAAGTGTTACACTGTGTGTGCACAGATGGACACATTTCTGTGTGCACATACATACAGAAAAAGTGGGGGAGAGAAGGGGTTACATTGTCCTCTAGTTGCTGCAACTCTGTTCTAAGCCTTTGCATGAAATAAGCTGTGAGCTGCACCTGACTATCACCATGAAATTATTTTAATGCTAGCACAGGACCAACAGTGCTTCTGTTGTGGCCCAAACACATACTCTTACCAGGCAGGAGCAAACCTCCCTCTAATAATTATTGGGTGGCATTTTACTGCACAAGTATCCTGATCATTTCAGTGAAATTTCTTACGGATATCTTGTGTGCACAGGTGACAAGGTGTGTTTCAGGCTTTAATTGATCTTAACTATTTTTTAATTTGCTTTATTTTTCCAGAGCTAAAATGTCCTATAAAATATGCTATTAAGGATGCTTTTCATGTTCTCTGTGTTTCCTTTTGATTATTTCTGATACAACTGGTTGTTTTTGGCCAGGAATCCAGTTTGGACTTGAACCTCTCTCTTCCTCTATTTGTAAAATGTTAATACAATTACACCTGCATGCTGATTGTGGTCTCTAGGTCCTGCTGTAGTTGCAAGATCTTTTGTGTGTCATCTAAAAGCAACTATAGTATTTTCCTTCTGATGACCATGTTTCCAGGCAGCTAAGAAGGAATGGTCTCAGACACTCTGGATAGACCTCAATGTCCAGGTTCTTCAGGAAGGAATTGAAAGATTCCTTAAAGCCTTTCGAAAGCTGCCCAGAGACGTTCGCAGCCTGCCCGTGGCCTTCCACCTGGAAAAGAAAATGAAGGCTTTTCGAGACTCCATCCCTTTGTTGCTTGATTTGAAAAATGAAGCTTTAAGAGAAAGGTTTGCTTTGATTTATTTAGATCCATTTTATATACCTAGGGAGATTTTGTTTGTTTTTTTAGAACTTCTAATTTCAGTTACTGTAGTCGTGCCATGTCCTGCAGCTTGAAACTTCACTTTCTGCTTAATGAACTTGTGGAATAGCATGTAAGGTGACTAGGGAGACTAGGGTACTTTATGCATTCATAAACATGTTTTCATTATCATATAGTAAATTACAGGTGTTTTCATTTTTACTGTATCGTGGTGGTTGGTACAATTGTTGGTGTGTCAATTTAAAACAGGCATTGGCAAGATCTCATGGAGAGAACAGGAACAAGTTTTGAAATGAAAACAGAAACATTCACTTTGGAGAATCTATTTGCTATGGAACTTCACAGATACTCAGATGTTCTTGCAGAAATAGTTGGAAGTGCTGTTAAGGAACTTAGCATTGAGAAGGTAGTGTAAAAATAATCATAAAACTAAACAGATATAAATGATAACAGTCTGGGTTTTATTTGAGATTTTTGTATTGGTATGCCAGCAAGTTCAGCCATCTTCAGGGAGCTGCTGTGATATAATTGATGGCAACTAAGGTCAATGGCACAGAATGCTGTGCTATCTTACCTTTGTCAGCAATATATTGGATTTCTGTTATTACAATAAGCAAGTTTGGCCTATGAAAAAGGATCTGAAGAAGGATTCATTCTATTGCCATAATAATATTTTGAAATGCAACCTTCTTTATAAACCAGTTAGAAAAATCTGCAAAAATTTTGCTAAATTATTTGATTTGATTTTTATGCTGAGATTAGTTCTCTAGTTTTTGAAGACTAAAACATGCACCTTTTTATGCTGACATGCAGGGTGTAAAGGAAATAACAGAAACGTGGGAACACCTGAAATTCACTGTACAGATGTACTTCAAAGGCACTGAGCAGAGAGGCTTTATTCTGGCGTCTGTAGATGAAATTTCAGAGATTCTTGATGACAACAATGTCAATCTTCAGAGTATCTTGAGCAGTCGATTTGTGGGTCCTTTCCTTTCCACTGTTCACCGCTGGGAAAAAACTCTGTCATTGATTGGTGAAGTAATTGAGGTAGGAAGGAAAGTGCCCGACTAAATAATTAATGTGTATTATTTATAATTGAGGGGGTTTTATTTTTTTTAATTTTTTTTCTTTGATGGTAACTTTTGATTCTTAGATCTGGATGGTGGTTCAGAGAAAATGGATGTACCTGGAGAGCATCTTTATTGGTGGAGATATCAGATCACAACTTGAAGAGGAAGCCAAAGTATTTGACAGCGTAGACAGTTTGTTTAAAAAGGCAAGTAACTGACTTGACTTGTGATCAGCGTAATTATCTAGTGCATTTTGCTTCCAGTTCCATAGATAACTGTGGTCACTAGTTAAATGTAATTTAGTAGAATCCCTTGTTGTTCAATATTTTCTAAACTTTCTTGTCTCCCTGTGTAGATAATGGAAGAAACTGTAAAAGATCCAACGGTAAAAAACTGCTGTGAAGCCCCAAATCGTCTCTCAGACCTCCATCATATAAGTGCTGTGCTGGAGAAATGTCAGAAAAGCTTGAATGATTATTTGGATTCCAAACGAAATGCTTTCCCAAGGTTTTTCTTTATATCTGATGATGAGTTGCTTAGTATCCTTGGCAGCAGTAGCCCACTCTGTGTCCAGGAACACATGATAAAGGTACAATGCCTGGCTTTCCACAGTGCCTTGTGCTTCAGGGAGCTTTAAAAAGCTTAATAGAATATACTGTATGTGCTGTTAAGGGTGTGCTAATATTTATTGCATGCAAAGAGCATCCTGGCAGCATCTGGAAGGAGGTTGTGAGTGATCAAATAAAATCTAATCGATATCCTGCACTTGCTCTCATCCTGGCCAGTAGCAGTTATGGTACAGGATCCTTCAGGCTGCACCAGAATGATCAATCATTAGTTCCCGTAGCTCCTGATAGATCATTATTTTCTAGAAAAAAAAAAATCAGTGTAATTTGGGCCAGATCATGTGCTTGTTTACTCTGCAGTTGGGCTACACATCAGCATTAGTATCTGATTCCTTACAAATCAGATCCATTTTTCCCTTAGATTTTGTGGAAATTTTCTTTCAAGATTAAATGGGAACTAGATACACTTTGGTCAAAGCTTTTTTTCCAGACTGCCACTAAGTTTCTGTGTTTTAGATGTATGATAATGTAGCCTCCCTGAGGTTTCATGATGCTGAAAATGATAAGATGATGGCAACAGCCATGATTTCAGCGGAGGGGGAGGTGATGGAGTTCAGGAAGGCTGTAGCTGCAGAAGGCAGAGTGGAGACTTGGATGACAGCAGTGCTGGAGGAAATGAGAAGAACGAACAAACGTCTCACCAAGGAAGCGATTTTTCGATACTGCGAAGACAGAAGCAGGTGAAACAATCAGTGTCAAGGATAACACAGATACCTTCCATGTTATTATGAGGCTGTAGCAGTGTAGAAAAATATAAAGACTTTTTTTATTATTATTTTTACACCATTTAGCCTGTATTTCTGTGTGTGTAGGGATATGAATACATACATATAGGATATTAACTGACCAAGAAGAAATGTGTTATCTATTGTATCTAATTTCCTAAGTCTTGATCTTTTCTTTTTAGTATTCTGTGCACAGTATGTATGCCTATGAATTCCACTTGGCAATCTTTACACATGGAATAGCCAGCTTTTCTATCAGAGTATTTCCTAGGCTTTTGAAATACTGCAGCACAACTTGATAGAATTCTGTACATCTCTTTCAAGTTTGGCTCATGTTGTAGTTGCTGCAGAAATAGGAGAAATTTTTTGCCCTTCCCTTTCTCTTTTCTTTTCCCTTTCCCTTTTTCCTGTCCTGATCAGTTACTGGGAATGAACAGTAACCCAGACTCTCTCCCTGCATGTATTTCCCATAGAGTTGATTGGATGTTACTGTTCCAAGGCATGATGGTGCTGGCTGCTAACCAGGTGTGGTGGACTTGGCAGGTAGAGGATGTCTTCCAGAAAGTGAAGAAGGGAGAAAAACAGGCAATGAAACTTTATGCTAAAAAGATGCATCAGCAGATTGCTGAGCTGGTTACCCGCATTACAAAGCCTCTGAGCAGCAACGACAGGAAGAAATACAACACGGTTCTCATCATCGACGTTCACGCCAGAGACATTGTCGATGCGTTTGTCAGAGACGGGTAAACAACACCCCCCAGCCTACTGAGGAAGCACCACATTGTGCTTCCACCCTCTTAGCTCACGGGAGGATGTCTCTCCTGTGCAGCATCCTGCAGGCTCAGGAGTTTGAGTGGGAAAGCCAGCTGCGCTTCTACTGGGAGCGGGAGCCGGATGATCTGTGCGTGCGGCAGTGCACGGGCTCCTTCTCCTATGGCTACGAGTACATGGGCTTGAACGGGCGCCTGGTCATCACCCCTCTTACAGACCGCATCTATCTCACACTCACACAGGTGTGTGTTCCAGGAGATTTTTACTAACAAACCCATCTAAAATACACTTCTAGGCAATCACATTGTTGTGTTGCCACTTTGTCACCTCCCAGATGCTAAAGCCAAGGCTAATCTGTTTGAAATCAGTTGTCCTTCTAACCTGGTTGCCTCAAAGATTGAGCATGCATTCACAGATAAAATTCAAGGCTTTTTGTACCCAAGGGTTCATTTGTGATTTTGCTGCTGACCTAATATAAGTGTAATCCAGGCTTTGCTTTGCTTTTTGGTCTGTCTCCAAAGGCTTTATCGATGTATTTGGGAGGAGCACCAGCAGGGCCAGCAGGTACAGGGAAAACAGAAACAACCAAGGATCTGGCCAAAGCGCTGGGCTTGCTGTGTGTAGTGACAAACTGTGGAGAAGGCATGGATTTCAAAGTAAGAGCTAAAGATCTGTGTGTTCTCTGATAAAGTGCCAATTACTGCTCTTTTTCCATGCTCGGGATAAAGGCATATTCTGAACTTCTGCATGACTACCTCCCTGAGAGATACCATGCCAATTGATAATGAAATATAGTAAAAAATGCCTATTTTACATACATTCCTGAAGGAATTTCAGGTGCTTTCAAGCAGGGGAGCAATGACTAGATGACATGTGCTTAAACTCATCATAGGCAATCTGCACTTGGCAAGTAATGATTGCAAGACATTATGACAGATTGCTAGCTCCTGCATAAATAGTTATCTAGAATTTTACATAGACCTTAAGAATTTTAGCATACTCCAGTGTTTGTTGATGCTTAATGTTTTATATATATATATATATATATATATTGCTGAGATGTTTTTCTTGTTCTTGATAGGCAGTTGGTAAAATTTTGTCTGGTCTTGCCCAGTGTGGAGCATGGGGATGCTTTGATGAATTCAATCGTATTGATGCTTCTGTGCTTTCAGTCATTTCTTCTCAGATTCAGACTATTCGAAATGCTTTAATGAATCAGTTGGAAAGATTTCAGGTAAACATCCAAAAAAGAAGAGGAATTGTGAAGGCTGAACATTTCAAACTACAGAGTGTGTGCTCTTAGTTTCATGGATGTTAAAGCATTGCTGGTTTCCTCATCCTTTGCTAGGTTCTTCCTTTGTGAAGTGGGATAAAAGTAAGCTAAACAGGATAATAGAAAATAAAAGGTAATACTAAGTAAATGGGATAATAGTATAGTGGTAATAAGGGAAGGAGGGAACTGAACTTGCTATGGATTGTGAGGCTTTGTTTGCTGATGTTTATTGGAATTCAAAACCCTCAGACAGAAAATATGCTTGAGAAGTGTGAAAGTCTTAATGTTTATATCCAAGGTACAAACAGTGGGATGAATATATCTGGATGAGTATCTAGAGCTAAATATTTTAACATGTCGCCCTAAGTGGGTGCCCCAGTATTTTTGCTTCTCTTTGAGCACATAGTACTATTTATTTCCATTCCAAATGCACATTGTTCTAATGTTTTCTTATCCCTTTAGTTTGAAGGGCAGGAAATTACCCTTGACAGCCGAATGGGCATTTTTATTACAATGAATCCTGGTTATGCTGGTCGGACTGAGCTCCCTGAGTCTGTAAAAGCTTTGTTCAGGCCTGTGGTTGTTATTGTACCAGATCTTCAGCAAATCTGTGAAATCATGCTCTTTTCTGAAGGGTTCCTTACAGCAAAGGTAAGAAAATTTTATTGCTACCCATACCCACATACACAACCATGTATGCATGGTCAGGGTTTGATTGTGACTTACGCATTTGTGATTCTCTTAAATCTCAAACAGATCCTTGCCAAAAAGATGACAGTGCTGTACAAGCTGGCAAGGGAACAACTTTCTAAACAGCATCATTATGATTTTGGACTGCGGGCCCTTAAATCTGTGTTAGTGATGGCTGGAGAACTGAAAAGAGGATCAGCAGACCTCAGTGAGGTAGATTTGCTACTTAATTATCCTGGGCAGATCATATTTTTAATTAGGAAGAGGATGTGCTTACACTTCTGTTGTAGTTGGTTTGCTTTGGAAATAGGAGCAGTGGTGTTACTTCTGTTATTATTTAATTTTGTTCTCACTGAATTTTTTCATGCTCTCTGCCAGCAAGTTACCATCAGAACTCAAGTCCAAGTAGGGAAATAGATACAAAATGAGGTATTTTACTTCCTTTTAAGTCCAGGATGCAAACAGCCAAATTAATGTCTCTGGGTGAATAGTGAAAGACGTTTTCTGAACAGTGAGTGCTCCAGCCATGCAGATATTAATTGCTCAGGTAGCAACATATTAGATGACTGGTTAGCTGTTTGGTTAAGATTAATTCTGCTATGTTTTGTTTAGGAACTTGTACTGATGAGAGCTCTACGAGATATGAATCTTCCTAAACTTGTGTTTGAAGATGTACCTCTCTTCCTTGGCTTAATCTCAGACCTGTTTCCTGGCCTGGATTGCCCTCGAGTCCGCTACCCTGACTTTAATGATGCTGTAGAACACGTGCTGAAAGAAGGGGGTTATGTTGTTTTACCAGTCCAGGTATAAAAAGTGTTATTTGCTTGAGTTTTAGTTGTATCCTGTAAAGCTGGAAATGCATTGCTGCACCCCAGGGTGGCTTGAGGAGAGCTTAACTGATATAGCCCAGTGGCTGATCTTGTCCATAGGAGAATTATGGACAGCAGTCTACTGAATCAATATTTATTTTTCAGGTGGATAAAGTAGTTCAGATGTATGAGACAATGTTGACTCGTCACACTACAATGATAGTTGGACCTACTGGAGGTGGCAAGTCAGTCGTCATTAATGCTTTGTGCCAGGCACAGAAAAAGTGAGTGTAGAATTTGATACATGGAAATTGGGTTGTAACATGGTATGGACTGTATTATTCAGCCCTGTGTAGTCATGACGGGATTAATAGTCGACCATAATATTTGCTTGGGTTAACATGAGATGGTGTTGTGTCGTTGTAACATTGCGTTTCTTGCTGTATCTTTAGGCTGGGATTATTTACAAAGCTTTACACACTGAACCCTAAAGCTATGAGTGTGATTGAGCTGTATGGGATCCTTGACCCTGCCACACGAGACTGGAAAGATGGAGTCCTGTCAAACATTTTTCGGGAAATCAACAGGCCTACTGACAGGAAGGAGCGAAGGTAGACAGCTAGAAATAGGTGTGATAACTTTGAAATACTGACTTTTACATAATTAAAAACAAATACTTGATACCTCGCTATTTAAGAAACACATTGTAAACAAGTGGGAAGTGTCCAAGGATCTGTCTGTCTTCTGGGAGTTTCCAGCCTCAGTGAGATGGATGAAAACTGTGGTTATTAAAAATGAACAGGAGGCTTCAAAAGACATCGACGCCTTTGGTGGCACATGTGAATTCTGAAATAGATGTGAGTAAAATCAGAGATTAGTCAATGCCCCTTGGCTCATGTATTCCTCAGGTACATCCTTTTTGATGGAGATGTGGATGCTCTCTGGGTTGAAAACATGAATTCTGTCATGGACGACAACAAGTTATTGACCCTGGCAAATGGGGAGAGAATTAGACTTCAGTCACACTGTGCTTTATTGTTTGAGGTAAGTAATGACCACACCACATACTACATGGGAAGGTTTAGAAACCCTTGGGGTCTACAAAGCCTGAAGAGCAGTTACAGTGGCTGTTCTTTGTTTATGTATGATTATCTTGTGTGATTATTTTATAGGTTGGTGACTTACAGTATGCATCTCCTGCCACGGTATCCCGCTGTGGAATGGTGTTTGTAGATCCTAAAAATCTGAGATATACACCCTACTGGCAAAAGTGGATCCAAAGCAGAGAAAATGAGGTGGGAATTTCTTCGCTCCTTCAGACAGTATCTGTATTAAATACTGAATTGTAGATCTATGTAAGAAAAACAACTTTGTAAAGGCAGTGTGACTTTTCTGACAATAAATCTAACCACTAGGCCTGCAGCACAGAGCAAAAGAGACTTCCCAGCTTTTCTAACTTCTGGTTATTTCTGAGAAGTGAAGAACTGAGAAATCAGTTTACTTGATCTCCAAAAAGTGAACAGTGAAAATGCTTAGGCTCTTAGACTGAAAACTCAAGTCCACAGGGAGCTGAAGTAAGGTAACTTAGTTGCTAGCACCTGGTGAATGCCGATCCTCACCTGCTGAAACCGCAGTCCATACTGTTGTGTCACATTTCTTCATGTGATTGTACCCTGTCTTTGGTAAAAGTGATTCCTGCAAGAACAATTATATTTCAGGGTAAACTGCTGTCAAAAATTGACTTTCCAGGTTTCTGTGTGCTGAATTACTGTCCTTTTCATTCCTCAGCAAGAGAGAATTGAGTTGGATCGTCTCTATCAAAAGTACGTGCCTTATCTTATCGATTTGATTGTAGAGGGAATTGTGGATGGCAACCAGGGAGCAAGGCTGAAGACCATTGTTCCTCAGACAGATTTAAATATGGTAAGGAATAGAGAGTGATGGCTGAAAACGTTTTATCTAAAAAGAAAAATGGAAGAATGGAGAGAGTAAAAACCTCCCAAAGAAAGCACAGGAGTTTCAATCCATGCTGAAATGTACTTTTGGTAGTGATGAGCACCAAGAGACAAAAGAAGCAGTTTCTGACAATGCTTTTTTACTGTTGTTAAAACTCATGTTAGTAGATGCGCCTGTAAGGACAAAAGATCAGGGAACACTCAAACAGCTGGAAACATATTAAGAAGTTTTATGAATCTAAATGGCAATTCTGTTTACAGTTTTGTCTTGTTTTACAACAGGTGGTGCAGTTGACTGTGATGCTGGAAGCTCTGCTTGTGGCACGGTCTCATGATCCCGATGTTCTGGAGTGTTTTTTCTTGGAGGCTTTGTATTTCTCCTTAGGTGCTTCTCTTCTTGATGCTGAGAGAATTAAATTTGATGAACATGTTAAACGTATTTCCTGCATGTCTACTGTTCATGATGATAACATCCTGGCTAAGCCAGGAGAGCTGCCAGGTAGGATCTTTAGATTAATTTAGTCTGAGTCCCATTGATTACATTAGGGAAGTGTTAGCTTCCATGAAGGCAGAACATTCCAGCTAGCTATCCTGGCTGCACTCTGAAGGAGTGTCACTGAAAACCACCTAGAAATACTGATGCTAGATGACTCTCAGCTATTGGTCTGTCCTTACAGAACAGTACTTTTCTATGCCAAGCTGAAGAGATAAACAATGAAAGGAAAAATAAAATGTGAAAGAAAGGTGCTTAAAAACCAACAGTATGATCCAAGTGTTAGAATAGGAGAATTTTGGTCTTAACTGGGTTAAATGACAAGTAAACAGAACAGAGTGTTGCCCAACTTTGTCCAGAATCTTACCCTTTGCTTTCATCTCAGTCATATTATTTTCTTATGAAATACTTAAGTGTCTCAGAAAACCTCCAGTTTCTTAATGTTTTTCAGGTCAGCTACCAACTTTATATGACTTTCATTTTGATGGATTAAAAAAAAAGTGGGTACCTTGGATGAAACTTGTTCCTGAATATGTTCATAATCCTCAAATGAAATTTCTTGACATCCTAGGTGAGTATAAAATAAAGCACAGTCATGATATACCTTTAATTTGTAATGTACCACCTCTGAGAGCATGGCATTTAACATGAAACATCCACTTTCTGTACACGTCATCTACTCAGGTTCAGTTTCTCGTGATAGCATAAATCAATTTATTTAATGTTCTTGTCATAGTATCTTAGCAGCAATAAGGTTGATAGTTACAACACTGTATAATAAAGAAATGAGGAAAGGATGAAAAGCTGATTTCAGATTATAATGCTTATTAGGAGCTAACAATACCTTGTACCAGCCAGAATAGCAGAAGATTCACAGTCTCCTCTACCAGAAACTTTAGGAAAAATGTCAGCTCTGTGGTTCAACTACTTAGTAGATAAAAATTACATTCTTGAGGCTGTTATTGGTTGTTACTTCAAGCACTGTATAATGGTGACAGGTGCTTTGCATAGTTAAGGACAAATTAATGCAGGTTACTTTATAGTAATATTTTAGCAAGCAGAGGTTGACTTCACTGAGCCAAGGGATAATTACATGATCTCTAAAGTTGCTCCGAATGGCAGGCTTTTCACATAGGCCAAAATTCATCTCTGTAGAGTTCTAGGAAAATGCTTATGATCCTAATAAATCCTGATTATATCCCTGAAATAGGGATTAAATGGAGCTTAACCAGTCCATGACCCTCCTATATGGAAGACTATTTCCTTTTTAATATCTCTTTAGGTGCAAAGCTCCCAATGCTAAAAGCTGAAAAGAGATGGTCAAGCAATTGAAATTGTCTTTCAGCATTCACAGAATCACAGCAGCTGATATTTCAGATTATGTCTTTGTGCAACTGCATGTTAATACCTTGAGAGTCTGATCCAGCACTATTCTATAAATAAAAATCCACCAGCTGTACTGCATTTTAATTTAACCTGCTATCGTATTTATGATCTTTTCCAGTGCCTACAGTGGATACAACACGTTCTACTTGGTTATTAGAACAGATGGTAAAAAAGAAACACGCAGTTCTTTTTGTAGGTGAATCGGGTACATCTAAAACAGCAACTACACTAAACTTCCTGAACAATCTGAACAAAGACCTTCATGTATGTATGGAGCATTTTCCCTTGTTGGTAAAGCTGCATTTTCATTTGTTGTCCTTGTGTTAATTTGGGATTGTGAAGCCTCAGTCTGTGGGCAGCAATATGAAAGTTGAGTGCTATGACTACATGCTCAGACCCAAAGTGCTATGACTACATGCTCAGACCCAAAGTTCTATGACTACATGCTCAGACCCAAGTGTGTGAATGATTTGGGAATGTTTTACGATCAGAGATGTTTTGTTGTGTTCTAGCATGTACAGATTCAGTTTTATAAAGTAAACATATAGTATCTAAGTGCTAAGAATGGGATTACTTTTCTTTGTAATCTGTAATTCAAGTGGATGAAAAGACCAGAAAAGTGTTTCTTGTATGCCTAACCATCTAATATAAAGTATATTTTTGAATGCTCTAGTTAAAAAAAAAAGAGCAGGTAAAAATCCTTCTTATCTCTTTCCTCCCCTTTGCAGCTGCTGCTGGTCATTAACTTCTCTTCTCGTACAACATCCATGGACATTCAGAGAAACCTGGAGACAAATGTAGAGAAACGAACTAAGGACACTTATGGGCCTCCTATGGGAAAGCGTCTCATTGTGTTCATGGATGACATGAATATGCCAAAGGTAAGTGCCATGGCCTGCAGGGTGGTACAGAAGCACTTGGGGGGACACTGATGTGATCCCCTCATATACAGATAAAATGAATGGCAAGTCAAGGAGATTCATGGTAACTGCATAACTGGATTTCAGCTTAGGATCTTTAGCAGACTTGTGTGCAGTAGGGGTTGTTTCTGTCTGCCACAATATCTGTCCTATGTGTGAGATTCTGCTGGATCATTTCTTGATGCTATTAAAATAATATCTCTGTGGCCTGATACTGGCTGCAGCTTGTGTATTACAGAAACCATCCCTTTCTCTTTTCAAATGGAGTAGGTGTGCATTTAGGTTTTTTTGTAGAAGAGTCACTTTTCTCATAGGAGACATTGGAGTGATCATTGCCAAACAGTGCTAGAGCTTTACAAAGTGTCCTTGTGATATTCTACTGAGGATGGAGCACAGTATTTCCACAATTAGAGCAGTAATTGGCGTGCTGATGTACTGAGCTCTAAACATCTTGACTCTCTTGTGTTACAAGGTTGATGAGTATGGCACACAGCAGCCCATTGCCTTGTTGAAGCTGCTGCTGGAAAAAGGTTTCATGTACGACCGTATCAAGGAGATGAACTGTAAACTTTTTCGAGACCTGGGTTTTGTTGCTGCCATGGGGAAGGCTGGAGGAGGTCGGAATGAAGTTGACCCTCGATTCATCTCGCTCTTCAGTGTTTTTAACATACCTTTTCCTTCTGAACAATCCCTGAATCTGATCTATGCCTCCATCCTGAAAGGCCACACCACGGTAATGTTACTGTTTTGAAAGAATTGTTCAAGAGGTTGATTATTTTCAAAGAGACATTAATTTCTTTGTTATTGCAGGCTTTCTTCTTTTTTAGAACCTCATGCAAACCTTTCCCTTCCTCTCCTCTTTCAGAAGAGATGGGTTTACACTGTTCTGGTAGATTCTTGAGTAATGTCCAATTCAGCAGATAGTTTATAAACCTGGTGCTTTTCATAGGTTGAAACCTGTGAACAATTTGGTTACTGTTCCTGTAACCAAATACACGAAAGTCAGCAAACTCTTTCCTGAATGACAGTGAAAAATTTAATGTAATGCAGTGGTCTTCATTACTAACAAGTAACCTGCAAGCTGTGAAAGTGGTGTAGAAATTCCAGTCATGGAGTTTAATGTTGTTATCTCCAGCACTATGCAAGCTCAGGAAGGAAGATTGGCCCTGCCCAAAACATTTAACTGCAGAATGTTCATACTACAGAGGAACATGAATTTCTGAAAATGTTTGCCCTCAGTTATTTGAAATACATTAAGCAGGGTTAAAAGCTGAAAAGCAGAGTATGTTCAATAGCATTGAGTTTTCTAGGCAGCCTGATGAAAGCATCCCATCTTTCTCATGTTTGCAGGTGTTCAATGACTCTATATCAGCCATCTATGAAAAGATTACTGTGTGTACTTTGGAGCTTTATAAACGAATTATTCGTGACCTGCCCCCTACTCTTTCCAAATTCCATTACATTTTTAACCTGCGAGATCTTTCCAGGGTCTATAATGGACTTATTCTTACAACTCCAGAGAGGTAAGAAGAGAAAAATTTACTTCAGTGGTTCTACACCTACTTATATTGATGAATCTGGGTAAAGATGAGGTAATTTGTGACATGAAATCAGTCACAGTTTGGTTTTCACTAAACCTTTGCTACAATGAGAAAATATTCAGGAACATCCTGAATTGTGATCTTACTCTTGATGATAAACACTGATAATGTTAGTCTTTTTAAAATAACACATGCAGATTTAAAAATGCAAGCAATTTAATTAGTTGTCCTTATGAAAGAAACAAAACCAAAAAGAGTAAAAAGAAGTCAGCCCAGACTTTGATTAGAGTTATTAAACATATGGCCTTAGGAATCATGTCAGCTCATTCGGTGCAGGCTGATATTTCAATGTTAATGTAGGTTTCAAACAGTGACCCAGATGGTGAGAGTCTGGAGAAATGAGTGCCTGAGGGTTTTCCATGACAGGCTGATTGATGAAGTAGACAAAGCTTTGGTGAGTAATTTTTTTTCAATTTTTAGTAGTCACTGACTATTACTATGGCAACTAATTTGCAACAGCAGCATTACCAACTGTTGCACTCAGGCCTTCCAGTCAGGCTGCAGACTTGTCTAACCACTGTGCTGCTCCATTAACTTAAAACATGGCTCAGGGAGTTTTGTTCTCTAAAATAAAGTGACTATGGCAGACTAAATGAGCAGATCTGCTGAGGGAAGGGAAAGTGTTTTTCCTGGGTTTGCCAGGAAGACTGGTTAGCAGTGGCACAGGTGACAAACTGTGAGAGCAGGGCTGAGGAAAACTCAGGACATCACTTCATTTTCAAGTCAGTATTTTCCTTCAGAAAGACTGTATTGGAATGTGACTGTACAATCAAGCAGGAAAAGGGATAAGAGCTAAGTCCTGAATTTAGTTTTGGCTATGAAGCAAATTGGAAAATGTTCCAAATTCTGTCTTAAAACACAGAGAGAGTGACACCAGTTTAATACCTTTGGAATGAGGGGAGGATTTGGGTAAAGTTTACTTATACAGAACTTGCAAAGCAGCTTGCTTAGATGAAAAGGGGTAGATTAAATGGCTTCAGATTTTTCTGCTTAAAACTTTCATCTCAAATGTTTCCAGCTCAATTTTCACATCTCAGTTACATTGTAACTTCTCTGTATTTGTACATTCATTCAGACTGACAAGATTTGTTAGAATTCTTGTTGGTGAGACATCTGTAAATGCTGAAAAGGAAGGTTTATTAATGTCATATTTACACCAATATGTGAGAAGGTACTGCAGTCCATTGGCTTGAATGGTTCTTGAAATATTAGATCATTTTAGATCATACCTAGAACACAATAGGAAGCTGTGGTCTGTGGATCTTCTAGTGACATAAATATCTCCTTGAAATCGATCAGTATTTGAGGAAGAGTCTGTATTATCACCCTTCTGAGTGTTAGCAGCTTCAGAATCATCTGCTTTGTTGTGTTGCCTGACTCATTTTGTGTACTTCAAGGTACAAGGCCATATCAAAAACCTGATTGAAGAGAATTTCAGCTATGACTTGGAGGAGGCCATGAGGGATCCTATCCTTTTTGGAGATTTCAGGATGGCACTGAATGAAGGAGAACCTCGTCTCTATGAAGACATCCAAGACTATGACGCAGCAAAAGCTGTCTTTCAGGTAGTGTGCATCAGCTTGGAATTTTGCCTAATTCTGTTTCTGTGCCTGAGGAATGAGTAGGAACCTGTCTCAGACTGTAGGAATTCTGTTCACTTTCTGTGCACATAGAATTTTATGTGCACCATTTGGGCTCTGCAGTAATGAAAATCGAGTCGACTGTTTTCCAGGAATTTCTTTTCCCTGCAGATCAGGAAAGGAATAATGCTGCTAAATGGGTTGTTATTTTATTAATGTTAATAGTTGTTTCCTTGGTCTCCTAGTAACGTTCTGTCCACCTTTCTCTGCAGGAGATTTTGGAGGAATATAATGAAGTTAATATCAAAATGAATCTGGTGCTTTTTGATGATGCTTTGGAGCACTTAATCCATGTACATCGCATCATACGGATGGATCGTGGCCATGCCCTGCTCATAGGAGTGGGAGGCTCAGGAAAACAGTCTCTAGCCAGACTGGCTGCCTATACAGCTGGATGTGAGGTTAGTGACCCTGCATCTTTGCAGTGGAAAAAGCCAAGGAAAGCAATATTGTGATCAGGCTTGAATTAGCAGGGCCAGGAGGAAGTCAGTCAGTCAAGGTAAGATCAGGCTGGTGTTTTTTCCCTGTGGAGAAAAGAACAGGTTGAGGTGGTTGCCAGGAGGTCTAAGAAGCTGACTGTGGGTGATCTGGGCAGGACGTTTCAGTGCCTGAATCTGGGATTTTGGCAATGGGGACAGAAAACAAGGGCAGGTTTGAGGGTGAGCAACTAATAGTCCCTGACTACTGTGGTTACTTGCCTGTATTACAGGAGCACTCCAGTGGTGCTTGAGGAACCTTATGATTGATTATGTAATATTTCAGATAGGAAATGTTCCTCTCTCAGAGGTACTTTCAGTCTCTTACAGAGGCTGCTGGCTTGAAGGGAAGAAGAAAAGAGGAGGATGAACACAAAGCAATTTTGAAAATGCAATCCTGCAGGGTTGTACAAATGTATTTTTAAAAAAGGATATACAGCATGATTTTTGATACTTACACATTTACTGATGATAGGGGCCAAAGCAAAGCCCTTGATCCAGTCTAATTGAAATTCAAAGTTACCCTCATTTGTTGGGTCCATCTGTGTCTTCTCAGTACCTGTTTGCATCCTCAGATATTTGAGATCATCTTGAGTCGAGGATATGGAGAAAGCAATTTCCGAGACGATTTGAAAAATTTGTACCAGAAGCTGGGACTTGAGAACAAGTCAATGGTCTTCTTGTTTACAGATGCCCATGTAGCAGAAGAGAGTTTCTTGGAACTCATCAACAACATGTTAACTTCAGGTGACACAGGCAGCCTCAGTTACTCCTGATCAGTATCTACTTGTGACTCAAATGTACCCTTGATCCAGCTATTACTGTTTCACCCTGTGCTCTCTGCTGCTATAGTTAGTTACACCTTTCAGTACTACCTGAAATTATCTGGCATTAATGATGGCATTTTGATATCTGCTTACAGTCATTCATGTACCTGGAAAACCTATAGGCTTAATTCACACTAATCATGATGTTGCAGGAGTCTCAAATTTCTTCCAAGACTGAGGAGTTACTTCAGCTGCATTTGGCCACAAACCCACCTTTTGTCCTATTGGATTTTGAAGAGCATTCACCTAAACTGCAGCAACTGCTTTTACACACATATATATATATATATATGTCCTAACCTGTAGTTTAGTAACTTTTAGTGTGTGCAGCAACTGAAAATGAGCAGCAGCTGGCACTATCCAACCACCCTGCCTCCAGACGTTCCTACACGGTCTGATTTGAAAACATATATGTTAGATTTTATCCCTTTCCTTGGTCTAGTTTCCCCTGTTCCTTTTCTGCTTGTGTCTCTCATTAGGTAACTTATGCAATATTTGCCACATGATTGAGAGGATAAAAATGTGAACTGATGGTTTGTAGAAAAGAATGAAAATTTTCTTTGCAGAGCTAAAAGCAGTTTATGCTAATGACATTTTGTTTATGTTGCTGAAGCCCAAACAAAGAAGAATTAATTGTTCCTCTAAATCCCCTTGCACCCAAAGTACTCACCCTATGGAATCACCCTAAGTACTGCCTCACTATTTCCATGGAGGCTGAGGGGAGAAGGAAAAGCATAGCAAGATAATTAGGTTTGCTCAGAACTACATGGGATCATTTTTGCAGAACTGGATTTAAAATTTGTGACTCTGGTTTCTGTGACTCTGCCCTGTCCCCAGCCACGTGGTTTTCTCTTCCTGGTTGTTCTCAGTAGCATTCTTCTGTCCTTCTGCTGCAGGGATGGTGCCAGCCCTTTTTGCAGATGATGAAAAAGACTCCATACTGACTCAGATTGGAGAGGAAGCTAATAAGGCTGGTGTGAACCCAGCTAAAGAGAGTGTCTGGCAATATTTTCTAAGCAAATGTGCAAGCAACCTACACATTGTCCTGGGAATGTCCCCAGTTGGGGACAGTCTGAGAACGTGGTGCAGAAATTTCCCAGGTATGAATTGAACACACTGCTTAGCCCCTCCTCTGGGAAATACAGGTTTACAGGCAAGAGAAAATCTCCAATGAACGGACACTCAGGTGTCTGGCAGCTAAAGCTAAGCAGAGCAGGTCTCATCACTAAGGATTTGCAATGTGTTGGTTTCTTCCCAGTTATTGACCATGTATCAGTGAGAATTATTGATTAGCATTTACCAGATCAGTTAATTTTCCAGCTGAACAGCTAGAAGTCAATTGGTCATCCTCATGGAAATACACAGCCTATGTCTGCAGCCTCTTTCTGTAGTTTATTGAAGAATGCAAGGTATTAATGTGTTATGAGGCTAGGAGGGTGGTAAGAGAAACATTTTTGTATCTAAAGCCAAAATAAAAGCATATTGAGAGGGACATTCACTGAAAGAAGAAACACCTGAGCTGATGGGTGCTACACTACAGCAGGTGGCAGAAAGGAGTTCTAGGAGACTGAAGGTACATAGGCAAGATGGGTAGGGGTGGGAATCCTAATGCAGGAATTAAAATAACTTGTTTCAGCTCTCAGCTGCATCCTGTAGAATGGCACAGCCTAAAGAACAATGGGGTTAGCAGGACACAGGTGCAAAGTTGATTGTTTACTGTCAAAATGGAAGCATCAACTTTTTGGTAAGTACTGTTGCTAAGCAGGTGTTAAATAAGATGGATCCTGTAGATTCTTGATGCAAATGAAGTTAAGCAGATTAGGATCTATTTTTACAAAGGAATTTTTCTGATAACACTATCCTTTCATTTTCAGGTCTTGTCAACAACACTGGTATTGACTGGTTCATGCCCTGGCCCCCCCAGGCCTTGTATGCAGTTGCACAATCCTTTGTTGGTATGTAAGATATCACTGTTTTAAGCCACTAACCCTTGGGATAGCCTAAGAAATATATTCTTTACTTTGCAGTTACTGTAGGTTTCAAAGCTTGATTTCCCATTGTGCTTGTTACCCTGTGTCTGAACAGGTGATGAAAAATCCCAGTAAAAAATGTTTTTGGATGGAATTTTCTTACTCAAATAGATTTGAAAACTTGCTAAAATTCAAGTTCTCTGCAGACAATGTTGCCTGCCTACCAGGAGGCCCAGGTTCTCTTCTGTTTCTGCCTTGATCTTGCTTTTTGCCCCAGAAAAGACTTCTTTTTTGGTGTCTGGCCTAGATGTACATAAGAAAAATGGTAACTGGTAAACTCTTAAACAAAACCAACAAAAGCTTTGACATCTTTCTTTTCTTCTGCCTGATTTTAGGGAATAACAAACGCATCCCATCAGAAAGATCCAAGTCAGTGGTTGAGCACATGGTCATGGTGCATGAGTCTGTGGGTGATTTCAGCAAGAGGTTTATGCAGAAACTGAGACGTAGGAACCATGTCACCCCAAAGAATTACCTCGATTTTATCAATAATTATCAAAAATTGCTGGAGGAGAAAAATCAGTACATTTTAGGTAAGGCTGTGTGGATGTTTTCAACTTTTGAACAGGCGATTTAAATATTTTGAGAAGGAAAGAAAAACTGGTTAGAATCCCACAAATTACCCTCATTATGCAAAAATAATTTTATCAGTACTATCTCAAATGCTGTGCTGACATCTGGTTTTGACATTGGACTGAAATCGTGGCCACATATGAATGTTTAGACTCTGGCTGTCAAACAGGGGGCTCTCCTTAAAATTTTTAGGGCATGAACCTGAGGCAACATGTCCAAACCAGACACTCCTCTGCCTGGGGAAGAGTCTGATTAGATCTAATACCAGCTCAACCTAACTCAAGATTGACATTCCTTCTGAGACAGCAATTCTTATTCATACTCCAGTGAGCACTGAGATATGTGAAGAGGATAAAACATGAACAGTGCAATTTGGAAAGCAAGTTGTGGCACAGGGCCACTTATCTGGCCTTTCAAGTGGCATTAACACCATCTTGGATGGGAGGCTTAGGAAAGAAAAAAATCTCTCAGAATAATATTCCTTTCATAACCAAGGTTGTCTTGCTGTGAAGTGCACCTATAAGCACCTTTACCTTCTGTGAGATTGTCTGTTGGTCTCTGGTAGCTCACAATCCACTAATGTTTCTCCCTTTTTTCTACCTAGCACAATGTAAACGGCTGGATGGGGGCTTGGTTAAACTGAAGGAAGCCAGTATACAGCTGGTTGAGCTCAACAAGAAACTTGCTGAGCAAAGGATTGTGCTAGCAGAAAAATCAGCTGCCTGTGAGGCTTTGTTAGCAGAGATTTCAACAAACACACAAATAGGTAGGTCATTTGCAACTACTAAAGTGTCCCACAGGCTAAGCAAGGCTCACATGCTCTGTGTTGGGTTGGGTTGGAAGACCCTCTAAGAGCTCCAGCTTCTTCTAGAAGTAACTTTCTTGCTCTCTCTCTGTTCACCTAGTGTCATGCTGTAACAGTAGGTTCCTCTGCCTTTCCCAGGTTGCCATCTTTGCTATTTATTTGGCCTACAGTACTTCACACAGTCAATGCTATGTTCCTCTGCCCTTGTCTTCTCTTTTCATGGTGTAAGCCATAATGTGGGAAAGAGACATTAGCAAGAAAGGGACAGTTTGATTCAGAAAACTACTGTTAGAGGAAAAATAGAGGGATACATGGGAGGAAAAGAGTTGATGTATGCTGTTATGTGGAACATTAACAGTGTTCCTGACCCTTGATGGAGCTGCAAGCATTAGCAAACTAACAATAAAAAGATACTGAGTTGATGGTCATTGCTGATTTTCAGCCAAAAGCAAATCTGTATTAGTATATGTTTTGAATTCAAATTGAATAAGCCATTTATGGTCCCTTCTTTACAATTCCTAGCTGAGGAGAAGAAAAAACTGGCTGAAGAAAAAGCTGTGGAGTTAGAGGAACAGAATAAGCATATTGCTGTGGAGAAGGCAGCTGCTGAGGCAGCTTTGGCTGAAGTCATGCCTATTTTAGAAGCTGCCAAACTGGAGCTTCAGAAGCTTGACAAGTCTGATGTTACTGAAATCAGGTGACTTATTTGGATGTTCAGTAGCATAATCTCTTGGAAATTCTCAGAGAGATCCATGTTTGCAGGGTTTGAGCCTTAGCCTCACCTTTCTCACCCGCATAGTGTATGGGTGTTGGTCAGGACATCAGTTGTCTGGGTGCAGAGGTCAAAGGGGATTCCCTGCTTGCTAGACCAGGACTTCCCCTTGAGCCTGTTCTTCCACTGCTTCATTTGATGTCTTCCCCAGATGTCTTTACCCTGAGTCTGATGCTCTAGAAACTGTTGTGGTTTTTGCCTGGGCAGTGACTGACCAAACCCCTTCATTCCTCCTCTATTTTTATTCCCTGTGAGTAGGAACACTTACCAGTTATTTGACAGGGATGCTTTGATAGCAGGAAAATGTATTTCTCTGCTGAATTACCTTCTCCCTGTTTTTATAATATATCTTGTGTTTGGGGATAGATATAAAGGCACGTCCAGTCCTTGGCTTTCCCTGGAATAGTAACAGTTCTCACTTCCCTGCTTCCCTTTCTCTAGTGCATTTCTGAATTTTTCCTGTCCCAAGGGGCAGCTGCTTCACTGCCCTAGGGAAGAATATCATGGCTCAGCATTTTAGGCCTTTAGTATTTATTTGATCAAATTGTCTGAATACAAGAATTGATTTTGAGCTTTTGACTAGTAATTAATTTCTTGTCTGGCCTTGATAATCTTTTTCACTTTGTGTGGGATGTCTTTTGTCCTGGCTGCTGTTGTATTGCAGTAACTCTCTTAACAAGAAGTACTAGTGTCTGGCATCATGCGCTTTGTCTCCTTTTTCTCCTCCACTGTCTCCTTTGTCTGTTCTCTAGATCCTTTGCAAAACCCCCTAAGCAGGTGCAGGGTGTTTTGGATTGTGTTCTTATAATCAGAGGCTACAAAGAAATAAACTGGAAGACAGCCAAAGCAATGATGTCTGAGGCCAATTTCCTGCGGTCCCTGATGGAGATAGATTTTGATGGGATTACTCAGAGCCAAGTGAAATCTGTCCGAGGTAAATTACTGAACTGTACACTTGGAATGAACGTAGCATCTTGGTAATGTGATGAGCCATGTTGGCAGCAATCCCTCCTGTGTTTTTTGGGAGAGTGGGATTCACTTTGTGCCAGGGGACAGCACTGTCTGCCATGCTGCAGATGTGGCACAGCTGGGGTGACAGGATTTTTCAGAGTTCAAGGACCTTCTGCTGCATGTTACATCCAGTTTCTAGACCCTTTAGAGCAGGCAAGAAGCAAACAGGACAGCCAAGTGGGCCTGCTGGCTGCTTTTAGCCACTTAGAAAGTAGAGTTGTGACCTTGTCCATGTGCTGGCAATTAAAATGTGACACATACAGAGTAGAAAGAAGATAAACTATATCTAAAGCTTATGAGCCAAACTTTGCACATGCTCCTGAGGATGTAATCCAGAATAGTTCCATTAAAAGGGGAATTTGGACCTTTGAACAAAATTGCATCTAATTGCTGCAGAGAAAAGAAACCATCATCCTGAGACATGCTGAATAGCTCCTGAATCTAATAACTTCTTGGAGAAAAGACTTGAGAAATCACTAGCAATATTGTGCTTGTATTGTTACAGCTCAGTAGGGCTGTAATATTTTAAGGTCAGAGTCACTTGAATATTCTGAAAAATGGTTCATATTGTCTGTCACAGCATTGCTTGATATTGCTGGTAGGGAAAGCTATTTCTCTGAGGATTTCTGTGCTGTCATTAAACTCACTTGCAATATTTTTGTGTTTGCCCATTTAGGTTTGTTAAAGACCCTTAATACTAGCTTCAATGAAATGGAACTTGTTAGCAGAGCAGGACTGGGAATGTTAAAGTTTGTTGACGCAGTGATGAGCTACTGTGATGTAGTTAAAGACGTCAAGCCGAAGAGACTGAAGGTAGAGTGTGTGGATGCATGATCCTGATAAGAAAAAGAATGCTTAGCAATTCATAGACTGCTTATTTCCCCACTTGCAAGTGCTTAAAAAGAGGTGTTCAGGAGAGCTATTGCAGCAGGGGTGAGGCAGGTACGCAGTTACAAACTGCTTTGTTGTGTGATGCTCTGATGGTAGGTTTCCATCCATGCCAGTGCTCGAAGAAAGAGGGAGGAATGTGTTGGAGTTTTGTAATCTAACATGCTGAGAAAACCACAGTTTATAGCTGTCTACTGAAAAAAACTTCAAAACACATGGCATTTGGACAGAGCAGAACCCAGTGGTACACAAAATCCATGGTCCTTAAGCACAGACCTTTTTATTAACTTTTTTTTTTAGAATAATTGAAAAGTTATTTGTATTACCAAAGGAAACCTCCACCAGATGATGCTGGGAAATTTTCTTCAATAAAATGTTACCATACACAGCTGACTACTGAGAAAGTATATTCATTAGATGACAAGTCTGACTATTTTTGAGGTCTTAGTTTTGCTGTTATTAAGGAGATAAGCCTCCCCTTTTGTCCCCCCTCTAATGTCAGCAGGAGTGCTCCCATGCTTAATGAAACCTTGTGGTTTCAAAACTCCAGGAGATTTATCTGCTTTGGAACTGCAGCATCAGCCCATGATGTGTATGTTTGGGATGGAGAGAGGGGGTGAGAAGCAGTGCCAGTTCTGTTGGCTTGCTCTATTTATTACCAGGACTTTCTGAAGTGTATGAAATAGCCAAAAGAAATCTGAGAACTTCTCTCCAAAGCCCTACTTTCCTCTGATACTCTTATGTTTCCTCCACAATGGAATGCAGGTGGCTAGGCTGGAAAAGACCTATTACACAAGCAAGCGGATACTGGAAAAGCTAAAGGCAGAGTTGGCTGCCATTCAGGATGAGCTGAAAGCTTTGGGGGACAAATACCAAGAGGCAATAAGAGAAAAGCAGCAGTTACAAGAAGAGGCAGAGATTATGCAGAGAAGATTAGAAGCTGCTGACAAGCTCATCTTTGGCTTGAGATCTGAGAACAAGAGGTAAGTCTAGATTCAAAGAGGAACATTTTTGACATCAGAGGGTCTAGTGTCAAAATCAGGGACAAAATAGGGATAAAATCTATCAAACTGAGACATTTTTGGAAATGTCACTTCCTGTGATGTTTGTTTCTGAGAAGAGCTAATATCCATTCTAAGCTAATATCCATTAGCTCTTGAAAAAAAGAACAATTTTTAGTGCAGAAGAAAGTGGTGAACTCAGATTAAAAAGGTGTTTCAGGTCAACTCAGTGTCTTTGGCCATTGTGATAGTGAGAGAACAACTCATTGTAAATTTGGGGGTCTGTCTCAGCCAACATCTAAAGCAGCAGCAGATGGAAATTCTGTCTATGATCCCCACCCCCCTGCTACAGGCTGACCCAGGATTGCCTTATAATTCTATCAGGTGGACAGAGGAATTAGAGGAGTTTGAAATACGAAAGGTGGAGTTGCTTGGAGACTGTCTACTTTGTGCTGCCTTTCTGAGCTATGAAGGAGCATTCAACTGGGATTTTCGAAATGAAATGATCTATCAAGTGTGGCAAGAGGACATCCTCTCACGAAAGATTCCTCTGGGTCAACCATTCAAGTTGGAAAGCCTCCTGACTAATGAGGTGGAGGTTAGCAGGTATGTCTGGTCAAAACCCCAGGGACTACTAAATGTGGAATTGTGAGAGTCTGGATCTGAATCTCTAGCACAGAAGTGGCATTGTGGGTGGAGGTGCACACCAATGATAGAGCAAGCCCATTTAATGTCTTGAAGTACTTTTCTACTAGTTATCAGAGGCCATTTTTAATAACAAATGGTTGTACTTCACACTCCAGGGAAGTTCACTGAACCTAGACATACATCATACCTTTTAATAAGATTTTTTAAAGGAGTTAGTTATAATATATGTTCAACCTGAAGACAAGCAGGTGTCTTTTCATTGACTTAAATGAATTTGGAATTAAACCTATGCCCAGGTTGCCCATATTTTAACTACCACTCATCAAATGCAACAGCATTTTGAGTAATGTAGTTACACCTGACTCAGACAATGACTCAGTGTGAGTTTTGACACTATTCTCACAATCACATCCAATATATATTTCCTTCCAGGTCTAATAGTGTGCTCAGTGAACGGCATAATTTTACTGACAAATGAAATGTGCTGCACTCCCCTGAAGTTTTTCCCCAGTCTGGTCTTTGATCCATTCCATTCCCAGGTGGGTTTCCCAGGGATTGCCTCCAGATGAGCTCTCCATCCAGAATGGCATCCTGACCATGTATGCGAGCCGCTTCCCGCTCTGCATTGACCCACAGCAACAGGCTTTACACTGGATTAAGAAGAAAGAAGAAAAAAATAACCTGAAGGTAAAGAGAAATTACAATTTTACTTCTTTACTGGTTGTTTTAAAAGCTGCATAAGTGACATAGTGACCAGTTCTTTGGGATGGATGGTTTGCTCAGGGTCTTGGCCAGCTTTAATACAGGCAGCAACATTAAAACCAAAGGGCTGGTATAGCTTGGGTTTTATTTCAGCTCCTGGGTGGTGTTTGTATGGAGGACAATAACACAGTCAAAGGCACAACTGAAACCTTGAAAAGTAGTACTCCAAATGGAAATTCCTCTCAACTGAGCAGGAAAAAAATCAGCACCTTTACTGTTGTGTCCCAGTGCAGTGTGTATCATCTGCAAGAGGAGAGACAAAAAGCACCAATGAGCAAACTTCATTAGTGCTGGCAACTATTATAAAATAATAATGTTCAGTAAATTGATTATCACTTCTCCTTTCATATCTTCCCATTATTCCCTTCCAGATGGCTTCCATTTATGACCCAGATTTCCTTAAGCAACTAGAACTGGCCATAAAGTATGGAAGCCCTTTCTTGTTGCATGGTGTCGACGAATACATTGATCCCGTGATAGACAATGTCTTAGAGAAGAATATCAAGGTTGCACAGGGGAGAACATTTGTTGTGCTGGGTGACAAAGAAATCGACTATGACAGTAATTTTAGATTGTACCTGAACACCAAGTTAGCAAACCCAAGGTATTCTCCCTCTGTGTTTGGCAAAGCTATGGTTATCAATTACACAGGTAAGCAAAAGTGTGCATTTAGTAACAAAGTAGTGATTCAGCTGTACTGCAAGTTTAGGGCCTGGATAAAACTGCAAAAAAAATCATAGTCTCCCTTATATTCAGCATCTTATTTAATAAAAAATACTCTTCTTACTTCTTCCTTTTAATTTGAAACTGAGCTAAGTATTTCTTCTTGCATCTCTCAGGTTAGGATGCTTTGCTAGAATTACGACAGACAGTTAATAACCAATTCATTCTGGTGTGTTGCTGTAGCTTTATGAGATCATGGAGATGAAATAATTTGTATAAAAGCTCTCCTTGTGTTTAAAAAAAGACTGTTCGTGGGCATGTGTTTTATCTGTAGTTACACTGAAGGGCCTGGAGGATCAATTGCTCAGTGTCATTACGGGGTTTGAAAGAAGGGAGTTGGAAGAACAGAGAGAACAGCTAATTCAGGAGACAAGTGACAACAAAAACCTGCTGAAAGATCTGGAAGACTCTCTCCTTCGGGAGCTGACATCTTCCACAGGAAACATGTTGGACAACTTGGACCTAGTGCAAACCCTGGAAGAGACAAAATCCAAAGCTACAGAGGTACCAGCTCTGGGCTTTTTAGAAGGGTGTCGTTTAACAGAACATTGTCTTTCCTTATTCATTGTGCTTCACTTTTCCCCTTTGAAGCTAGGAATTAGTTTGAAAGAAAATGGAGAGTTTTCTCCTGAGCATGTTGCATCTTTCAGTATTGGGCAGTATTTTATTGTATCAGAGAACCAAATCTTATCTTCAGAAAAGTCCTTATCAAGACCAAAATGGTGGTTGTTTGCAGTTCTAAAGCAAAGAGTATGTGAAAAGTTTCTTTCACCTCTGAAACAACCTTTGTCTTGTGTTGTATCAGATCCGAAAGGAAAAAATAAGCTTTTTACTATTCAGAGAGGATGTAGAATCTCTGTCCTTGGAGGTTTTAAGGCTGTACTAGAGCAAAGCCACAGCTGACCTGATCTAGTGGTGGTCATAGTCCAGCTTTGGGCAGAAAGTTGAACTGGAGATCCCCAGAGGGACTTTCCCACACACTTCCCATGATTCCGTGCCTTTTCATAAATAGAGAGGGTGGTATTAATTTTATCTAGCTCTTGTTTTTTACAATTCATACTACCTCCTTTAGGGCTACCTGCCCAGATGACCTGTATAGTCAACACAGAGAGGCAGGCACTGCTTATTTTGATATAATATACACCCTGTGAATCAGAGCAGTAATTACATGGGTATAAAATCAATGTACATCCAGGTGATAGAAAAGCTGAAGCTGGCAGAGACGACGGCGAGGGATATCGATCGCCTGCGAGATGGCTACAGACCAGCTGCCAAGAGGGGGGCCATTTTGTTCTCTGTTCTGTCTGAAATGGCTCTTGTCAACACCATGTATCAGTACTCACTGGTTGCCTTCTTAGAGGTTTTTGGATTCTCTCTTCGGAAATCCATGCCCAGTCCTATTCTTCCAAAGAGGTTAAAAAACATCATGGATACGCTGACCTTCAATACCTACAACTATGGCTGCACAGGTCAGTGCCAGTCAGGGATGGGCTGATACTCAGTTGTGCAAGTACTTGGGAAGAGCTGTGCCTTCCCTGGGTGTTCATTCAAGAGGCAAGGTACCAATGGGTGGATTCACTGGTGCTCAGTTCTCAGCTTTGGTTTACACTCCCTGCTACTTCTCTTTGAGGGAACTGTGCACCTTACCAGTGTAACTTCTAAAGAAATGCTTTTCTTAATACAATTCCAAATGGTAAATCACTGCTATGGATCTCACATCCTTGGATGTAACTCACAGATGCAGTTTTGATTCTGTAAGCCTGATCCAGAACCACATTTTTTATTATCCTGATCTTTGTGGGGTGACCAGATGCAGGCTGTGGATGTAAAGACAATTCCACAAGTTTTAGCAGCTGATTTTTGAAAATATTGTCTTTTTAATGTAGGTTTGTTTGAGAAGCACAAGTTACTATTCTCCTTTAATATGACCATCAGGATAGAGCAAGCTGATGACAGACTAACCCAAGAAGAACTCGAGTTCTTTTTGAAAGGTAAAGTGAATATTTATATAGAAGTATATACCCATATGTAGCAATAGCTAAAAGATCTTTCAGAGATAGATTTTGGGTGGATATGATTTGCTGTAAGAACTAGCACCTAGAGAAACCACTGAAAATAGCTGAACTGTGTTGGTTTACACAAATTGTGGATTCTCCTATTTCTGTTTTTTCCACTTTGTTAAACAGTGAAGTGGCTGATCTTTCTCTGCAGATGTTCACAAATCTCATATTAGCTAGTTGTTAGGCTGTTACTTCAGAAAACAACCTTTGGTTATTGTAGAAATGTATGCAAAGATAAAACTGGCATTTGCAGGCACTTGAAAAATGCCATCTTTTCTTCAGCAGGCCAGTTTAATCTTGTAGTGTTTTCAAAAACAGGTTTCCAGTTGGTTCCTCTGTGCAGTGGGACTGTATGTGTGGTCACGTGTTGGAAAATTTATTCCATGGACATTGACTCTGGTTTCTGACTGTGACTAGGCAATATTTCCCTGGAGAAGAGTGCACGAGAGAAACCCTATGCTTGGCTTCCAGATCAGGGCTGGGAAGACCTAATTCGCTTGTCTGAAGTATTTCCTGAGAAATTTGAGTCTCTTCCAGATGATGTGGAAAAAAATCCAGATATATGGAAAAATGTACGTGCTTCTTTGCAATCCTGTTCCCTCTCCTGGTTTTTCTTCTGCCGTTCAATGTTGAAGCACGATGCCCTGTGCTGTAGCACTTGGCAGGAGGCACGTCACCGCTGGCTGGTTCTGTCAAGGCCTTGCTTTTCTCCTCTACCTCAGTTAGTGATTGGCTTCTTTCCAGAAGAATTAGGGCTCTTATTCTTTAAAAAACAAACAAACAAACATCTTCCCTTGCATACTGTAGATGTTTTATTTTCCATACAAATGCCTTAGGTGAGTTATTTGCCCTGTTGAAGCCAATGGAGTTTTTGCTGTTGGTTTCAACAGTCAACATGTCACTGTTATTTTTGTACTGCCAAAGTGTTCTTTCATCTCCTTGTGGCAGTGAGTTTTACAGGCTTCAAACACAGGCCTTCCTTCCTTCTGCCTTTAGTTTTATCCCATGTCTTCTTGCTTCATAAGAAGTCTCTCTGTAAGCAATCTGTTAATAGTTTTTTCTTGACATGCTGGTTTTTGTATCTTCAGAGAATTACTTGACATAAAATGAAAGCAGAAGTTTGTTTTTGGACCTGAATATACTGAAAAAGCTGAATTTTCTTACATTCAGTTAATCTTTTCATATTTTGTTGCAGCTGATCGACTTCGTTCTTTGTTCTTGTGTCTCTTGGCCCCTCATTAGTCAGATTTTGTCTGTTTTCCCAGTAATGGCATTGATGGAGCCACCTGACCCATTCGCATTGTCTCCCATCTTCTCTTGCCAGTGGTATGATGCAGATGCTCTGGAGCAGCTGCCACTCCCCATGCAGTACCAGGACAGTCTCAGCAGCTTTCAGAAGCTCCTACTTTTCCGGTGTTTCCGAGTGGACCGGCTGTATCGGGCGGTGACTGACTATGTCACTGTGACCATGAGTGAGAAGTAAGTCGCTTTGTTCTTTCAGATCTGAATCACACCTTTCAGGTATCTCACAGAGAACTGGAATTGTAATCAAGTATGTAAATGACTTTGTAATTTGCCTAAGCAGCAGAATGTGATTTGTGGCTGGACTGTGTCCGCATGCAGCATGTTGGTGTGAACATCATCTTGTACACAAGGTGGCTGCTCTTGTGTGAATGAGCCTTTTATTGTGCTTCTTTTCCTACCAGGTATGTGCAGCCCCCTGTGATCAGCTTCAAAGCCATCTTTGAGCAGAGCACTCCTTCCTCACCAGTTGTTTTTATCTTAAGTCCTGGCTCTGATCCTGTCAGTGACCTCATGAAACTGGCCGACAAGACAGGCTTTGGAGGAGACAGACTCAAATTGCTGGCCATGGGACAAGGCCAAGAGAAGGTAACTTCATTGGGAGGGCAGGGATGTGTTGTGTGAATTGCAAGTCATGCTCCTAATGTTGTGGGCCTGCTCAAATTTCCTTTCCAAATGCCTGCTCCATTTCATAGGGGGTGGCTTTGTGGTTCAGTTTTCCAGCCTGGGAATAATGCTTCCCTGTGATGTGAAAGGGGCATTTGGCTGATTGGCTGACTCAGGATCATAGTGATACTGTCATCTGTTAAAAAACAGGTGGGCTGAAAAGATGTTACTCTGCAGCCTTCAAAGGATAATTGGTGACCTGTGTCTGCCTATGGCCATGAGCTGACTGGAAGTCACAGAGTTTGTTACCCAGAAGCTGCCTGCTGCTCTTTGCTGTAGCTTTCCTTTGTGCTGAGGGTACAAGGGCAAGGATGTCCAAAGCTTAGCAGCTGAATGAATTGGCTGTGGATTCAATCAGTGAGAGAACTCAGATTTGATTCATTGAGGCCACCACTGCCTAGGCTCTGATATCCACCCTCTGGGCCATGCACACTCCTCTGCTGTTTTGAAATACTTCAATGCTCTGCATGGCTTTTGATTTCAAAAGGAATTAATGAGATTAAAAATGCATCTCAGAGCAACTTCTTGTGGTATTAGAAAATGTCTGGTCTAAGTGAGGAGCATTCTGATAAGGCTACGAAAACTAACTCACAGGTTAACTGTGAGTTAACTTCCTGCTTGCTAGTAGGAAGAAATCCATTGCACTAACCCATCGGGGTCAATTTGCTTACAGGATAAAGGGAGAGTTACTCACAGACAATTCTTTCTCTCTCTGAAGATTGCTTTGCAGATGCTGGAGGACGCAGTGGTTCGTGGAGAGTGGCTCATGTTGCAGAACTGTCACCTTTTGGTCAGGTGGCTTACTGATCTGGAGAAGGCCCTGGAGAAGATCACAGAGCCTCACCCAGACTTTCGGCTCTGGCTGACGACTGACCCGACCGAGGGCTTCCCGATTGGAATACTGCAGAAGTCCCTAAAGGTATTTCCAGGGGGGCACAGCCTTCCTCCTTCCCTCGGGAAAACAGACTGGCTTTGGGAGGAGCAGGACCTGGGTGCAGCACATGGACTGGGGCTGGATGTACCTGCTTTTTGTCTTTATAAGCCAAATCCTTTTTTTCCCCATCATCCTGTGTCCTGTCTGTCTTACCATGGTGGTTCCTGTGGGTGAAAGCTGTTCAGCATTTGTTTTTCTGAAGCAGCTATTGCTAAGGACAGGTTTGTGAGTAAACCTGGAAGTGTGACAAATGCTCTTGAGATTCAAATGCTGCCGCAAGTGAGTAACCTCCAAAGAGCCAGGAACAGTCCTGCTGGAGTGCAGAGTCTGGTCTTTACATATGTGTGTTTACCTTGATGAACTTTAAAGGTCCATTTCATGTCTTTCCTTAAGAATAAATTCTGTATTGATACGAATTTGTAAAGCAGTTCAAAATTGTCGAGCTTGATTATATAGATTACTGAGAGAGCAGGATAAATTGACAGCTCATTTTCCTGAGCCTGTCAGTAATCTGTGGCTTCCCTGATTATTTTGATAGGTTGTGACAGAACCACCCAATGGTCTGAAGCTGAATATGAGAGCCACCTACTTTAGAATTCCCCAGGAAGCCTTACAGCAGTGCCCACATCCTGCCTTCAAACCTTTAGTCTATGTCTTGGCATTTTTCCATGCTGTGATTCAGGAGAGAAGGAAGTTTGGAAAAATTGGCTGGAATGTTCCATACGATTTTAATGAATCTGATTTCCAGGTAAGAAGGTATTACAACAGCTCTGATATTCTTTAGTTGCTCAGGTTACTTTTGAAAACATATAATCTACCCTACTTTAATCCTTTCTCACACTAACATTTTGCCTCATTTTTTTCTGCTGCTGTGAGCTCATGTAGCCTCCTCATCTTCCATAGTGTCAATTTTGCCACTAAAAATAAATCACATTCCAAATCCTTCATATTTATATTGCCTCTCTCATGGATTTCTTTCCTTAAGAGGATTTATACTTAGCTTTTTAATTATTTGGGAAAGAAATGATTGCTAGTTTTCAAATAAGAACTATATTAAATAAATATATGGATATATATAGCTGAGTTATGAATCTTATCTCACATGTTCCAACAACTTTATTAGGTCTGCATGGAAATTCTTAACACATACTTGACAAAAGCTTTCGAACAGAATGATGATGAAATTCCCTGGAACAGTCTCAAGTATCTTATTGGTGAGGTGAGTGCCCACAATGTCACTGACGAGCACTTGATGCTAAAAGTATCCAGATAAATGAAGCTTCCTTGCTGCTTCATCCAGTAAAGCTGGCTGAGAGCCTCTCCTGGGCAGTCTTGAAACTCCTGTGTAGCCCTGAGCAAGTCACCTCATTGTCTCAGTGAAAAAGGGCCACTGTGAGCAACAGAACCACAGGGGAGTTATGGTGCTTAATTAATTTTTAGTGCGTGTGCCCTTGGGATCTGCTGACGAAAGGCACTGAACAGCCCATCACGAGCACAGGGCGAGCTGTGCAGGTGCTGCTGAAGCTCTTGCAGTGCAGGATCTGGGACGTGCTGTGGAGTAGCTGGACAGCTCAGTGTAGCTGCTGTGACATGAAATCCTGCAGGAACCAGTTCCTTTGCAGCACTGAATCACAGCCAAGTGTGAGCTGGTACCTGAGGAAGGTGCCACTACACAGAAATCACTATGCCTGGTTGTTGTGTGTGCCCACAGCAGTCATCTCCTGACAGTCCCACCAGCTCCCGCTTGTTCCCCCTGGAGAGGGGGCTAGAGAAGATGCACTTGCTACCCCTTAAGGGGAGGACAGTGTTGTACCTGTGGTCACCGCAAAAGCAAAGACTGTTTTGGGCCTTTCAGTGCTTTTTAACTGTATTTGCTGCCCCAAAAGCTAATGTAGTATTGATGTCACTGATTTCCAGGTCATGTATGGTGGGCGTGTGATTGACAGCTTTGACCGGCGCATTCTGACGGTCTATGTGGATGAGTACCTGGGGGACTTCTTATTTGACACCTTCCAAACATTTCATTTTTATAAAGACGACAAGGTTGATTACAGAATTCCACACGGGGCTGGAAAGGATGCCTTTGTTGGTAAGAAATGCTTCCCCTGCCACTCAGGCTGTGTGTGTGTGTGTGTGTGTGTGTGTGTGTGTGTGTGTGTGTGTGTGTGTGTGTGTGTGTGTGTGTGTGTGTGTGTGTGTGTGTGTGTGTGTGTGTGTGTGTGTGTGTGTGTGTGTGTGTGTGTGTGTGTGTGTGTGTGTGTGTTGTGATGTTGTAATCCTCTGATGATGCTGTTCTGGCTCTAAATGAGCAGCCCCTTGTAATGTGAGCTGACCAGCCAGCTCCTCATGTCTGTAAAAAAATATTCTATTAAAGAGTCCCATTTTAAAAATTATTATTGATACATTTCCATGGCAGGGGTGTGTATGGGTGTGTATTTAATGCTTAAAAGTGTTCCATCCATCCTTACAGTGTTTTAACACCAACTGTAGCATTTGATTTTTTCCAAGCAGAGCGATAACAAAAAAATCCTTCATGAAACTCCCTCTCTCCCTCCCCATCCCACCCCCCTCCTTTGGCTGTGGTTTAATGTACCTGATATCCAGGGCTGTGTCTTTACATTGCAGAGGCAATCGAAGCCCTGCCCCTTGCCAACACCCCCGAGGTGCTGGGTCTTCATGCCAATGCGGAGATCGGATTTAACACCCAGGCCGTGCGCGAGATGTGGGCTCATCTCCTGGAGCTGCAGCCTCAAACAGGTGTGTTCTCCAGCACTTTGGTTTTGTAAATAAGAGCTAATAAGGTTGCTTCCTGTCAGGGGGACTGTGACACCAGCCTGGCCACCACCTGCCTCAAGGTGCCTGGGGCCCTTGACGCCCGGTGCTGCCATGGGGAAGAGCATGATCCTGGGGCCACAGAGGGCCTGAGCCGTGGTCATGGGGAGCAGAGTGAGGAAAGGGTGGGACTGAGAGTGGGCAAAGCAGCTGAACCAGGCTCTGCCAGCATGGGGGGGTAAGTCCAGCATGTGCCCAGAGGCACAGTTGGAGGCAAGCAAGGGGCTTTCTGGTGCAAACAGTGCTGCAGAGGGTGAGGCCTTTGATGCCAAAAGGTGAGTCAGCTTTCAATTAGAGAATTAATAAGAGAAGGGGTAACCTGTGCAGATTTAGTCCTATTCAACCATTTTGGTTTCAGGTGAAACTAGTACAGGCATTAGTCGAGATGAATATATTGCAAACATTGCTAAGGATATAGAAAACAAAATTCCACCAGTATTCAACCTGGACAAGATCAAGAGGGGTTTAGGCCCAGAGATCTCCCCCACCACGGTGGTGCTGCTGCAGGAACTGGAACGTTTTAATAAGCTGCTCGTTCGAATGGCAAAGTCACTGGCTGAACTGCAACGCGTAAGTAAGAGCACAGCAACCAGAGGAGCTCAGTCAGGCCTTCCCCTCCCCAGGCTGGCACTCAGGCTCTCACTGTCTTTCCAGGCCCTGTCTGGGGAAGTTGGGATGAGCAGTGAACTGGAGGATGTGGCTCGGGCGCTCTTTAACGCGCAGATTCCCGGCATCTGGCGGCGCCTCGCTCCTGACACGCTGAAAACACTTGGAAATTGGATTATTTTCTTTAGAGCTCGGTATAACCAGTACACCAGCTGGGTGAGTACCTCCAGAAAGCTTTTTGTTTTGGTAATCTGCATGATGTGCTGTGCACATAGGCACAGAAGTCAGTGAACAGACACTGCTTTAGACCAGTTGCTAATGCCCATCACCACATATACAGTGGTAATGAATCACTGCATGACTATGGATGCAGGGCAGACAAGCCCCTGGCTTGTCTTTAAGAGTATTGGCCTCTGGGCTGAGAACCAGGTGTGATGGCAGAACCAGGTGCTGCAGCTTGTCCTCTGTGCCTGCAGGTTGAGGACTGTGAGCCCAAAGTGCTGTGGCTCTCGGGCCTGCACATCCCAGAATCGTACCTGATGGCTCTTGTTCAGGCCACCTGCAGGAAGAACAAGTGGCCCCTGGATCACTCCACCCTCTACACAGAGGTCACTAAGTTCAGGAATGCAGAAGACGTCACTGAAGAGTCTACTCAAGGTAGGTGTTTTTTATGATTATTTGGCAAAAATAATGAAGCAATTAATTGGAGAGAGAGAGAGAGAGAGAGACAGACTGCCTGGCAACCTGAGAACATGACTTAGATGATACGTCTGCAGACGATACCCTTGGTTTTGCATTTCACAGTCCATATGATTTCAAGCTGAGAAGTAGCAGGGGTGGGCTTTTCTGCTGAGCCCCAGCAAACACAAAGTATGAGCTTTCTCAGCTCTTTTCACCCACATGAATGTGTTTGAGCTTAGACCTCTCCCTTGCTCTTTTATACCTTTACATATATACTTTTTTTCTTAATGCCTGGAATAGTAGCAGTCATAGCAGGTTTATAGAGACTTATTTACACCATAAATAATATATTGAAATAAATGTAAACAAAAAAGCAAATGCAACTATGTATGATTTATGGTGTAAATATATCTTTATGAAATTTCTCTGGCTATGCTGTAATTACTAAAGATAACAAATGCTGGGTAAAGGTGACAGCTAAGCAAGGCTTTTGAGTACTAGACCTGACCAGGATGAGAAGAGGAAAAATAAAAGTCACCTATACTATTATTTACTGCCATTTCATCAGAATGTTGATATTTGTGCTAGAATGACTCTATCCAGCCCTTCAGCTGTTAGAATGCTCCGAGGAGCAGCCCCCCCAGCAGGGACACTGACCTCTTACACCTTGGCCATTACCTGGGCAATGAGTTGGAGGAGGGCACTCAGCTGGGGGGGGAAAACTGCAAGCAAAGCAGTATTGATAGCAAATGAAGTTGCAGTGCAACCGACACAACTGTAATTGGGAAAAAAAGGTTTGACAGAGTAGGTCACAGATGTATTATAAAACAAAAAAAACCACAGCCAAACATACCTCAGTGCAGCTGCAGGTTGAAATGATGGGTTGTGTCCTGACTCTTGAGTGCTAAGGAACAGCTGCTGCAGCAACAACACTGGTATTAAACTGATGTTTTCATAGCTCAGTTTACACGAGATGCTTCATTTTTCTGCCTGTGCAGGCTGCTTTGTTTCTGGTCTGTACCTGGAAGGAGCAGACTGGGACACAGAGCGCAGCTGCCTCATTAAGAGCAAGCCCGGGGTGCTGGTGGTGGAGCTGCCCATTCTGAAGATCATCCCCATCGAGGCACACAGGCTCAGGCTCCAGGTACTGCTCCTTGGGGACATCATGGCCAAGTAGCTCATTAACTTGTTCTGTCTCTACAGCTCACTGCTGGCAGGCCCTTCCCTCCTGGCACAAGCAGCAGTGTTGTATCATTACCACTAGTATAGAAAGGAGGCAGTTTAACACATCTCCTCACACTAACCCCTAGAAAAGAAAACCTTTAGCGATGGTGACACAAGTGGTTAATATCTTTGCTGCTTCTCTTCCATTCAGGCAGTGTGAAACCATCTTGGGACACTCTTAGAATCCTCCTACTCTTTTAATTATTTCCTATTGCCAGCTAATGAGATAAAGGACATTTTCTGGCTATCAATTAACACTTAAAAAAGTTAATTTCTGAAGACAATAATCTCTCCTAGAGGTCCTTTTTCCAGTTTGATTCAAGCATGACTCAGTGTCCTTTCCTCCACACTCTTGTAGAACACCCTCCGGACACCTGTGTACACAACCTCCCAGAGAAGGAATGCCATGGGTGTTGGCCTCGTGTTTGAAGCTGATCTTTACACTAAAAGGCACATTTCCCATTGGGTCCTTGGAGGTGTTTGTCTCACCTTGAACACAGACTGACACTTCAATCTGACCTTTGTGGTGGGGACTCAAAATAGGTAAAGATGTGAGCAAAGAGTTTGCCCATGGGGTGGGATAGTGTTCACCTGACTTGGAATATTAAGATAAAACCAAGCTGTTGTTATCAATAAACACATTTGAAGATGAAAGTGTTTCTCATAATTTGTGTTGCCTTTTAGGAAGGCTCCAGGCCAGTCTACAGGTATGAAGGAGGAGATGAGTCAAGTCTTGCACACACACAAAGACTAAGGTTTGCCTGGATGGTTGTAAGAACTGTTTTTAATTGCCCAAAGCATCACTTCTGTGCTTAGAAGTGGTGCCTTCCATCGTCCAAGTGCCAGGGTAGGTCAGTCACACAACAGATGGCCATAAAAATACGGCAACAACAACCAGAAATATCCCAAAGCCACTGCTGGTTAATGCAATACACTTAAACCCCACAGAATAACAGCCTTTCTTCAACCGTTTTCCAGGAACACAGCTCCTCCCTATCCCTCCCCATCAGGCACACAACAAATCCTACCACACAACTGGCCAGGTGTGACACTGAGGAGTTTCTTGGGCTTCAGAACAGCAAGAGACGGAGGCGTGAGGGTGTGTGGGGTCAGCACAGGAGGCTGGTGGGTGGTCACTCCCCCTGTGCCTGGGCACAGCCCTGGTGGAAGCTGACATGCTGCACAGGAAACAGAGCAGTACCACGGCCAGGAAGAGCTGCTTTGGTCACCCTGCCAGTGCCTTTGTGGGGGACATGGCCCAAGGCTCCTGTGGGAGAGACGCACCAACACAGGCTGCAGGGAAAGCTTAAGAGAGGCAGACTAGAGCTGGCAAGGGGCAGGGAAGAGGGCAGGCAGGGATCCCTCATCAGCTTTCACGGAGATTATGTGTTCTGAGTTTTTGAAGGCACATCAGAAGCTTAGCAGCATTTGGGAGCCATTGGTTCTTGCTGGTCCTATTCAAGAGACTGCAGACAAGAGTGGAGCAGAGGTGAGCTGGAGGTGCTGATCACAATTTAAAAAAAAACAACACAACAAAGGTCGGTTTGTGCTCCCCTCCCAACATGACACACTCTCACTGCTCTCAGGATGCCTTTCTTTCCTAGGAAAAGAATAATAAAATAAGCAAAACAGCTGTAGGGTCTACCTGTTGCTTACTAGGAAGGAGCAGAGGAACCAGGGCAAGTGCAAGGCAAGTCCATCCCAATCCAGGAGGATTAAAAAAAATAAATAAATCAATAATGCCAGGTTCTCTTCCTGTATGACTTGGTTACATCAGTTAAATTTAAAACTGAAGACACACAGTTTAGAAGGACAGCTCAAGTTTCTAAGCTGGCAGAAGCCAGCACTGTCTGATGATGTCCAGAACAATTCTAAGGTTTTTAGGAAACAAAAAGAATCCCTTTCCAAAAAGTGCAGGTTAGAGCATAAAACACCATTTCCATATTTGATAACCAGTTACATTTTCTCTCTGGAAAAGGAGCTCTGAGCCAGTATGGAAGGTGCTACAAGTGCAGTGTCCTGACTAGTGTAAAATGTGGATTCTAGGGAGCCATCCCAGTTTTAAATAAAACAAAACAAAAATTCCAACCCTGTGTTCATAAGCTATGAGAAGCACTAACTCTTTAAAAGGGTGCTTTATCCCCACCCTTCTTTTTTTTACTTAAACCCACAACCTGAAGTTTTTGTTCAGGATTAATCAAGTAATGTTTGCTGGGACTCACAGGATTTTAAGAAAGAGAAACTATGAACTCAATTTGCAATCAAGAGCATGTGCATGTGAAGGAAAAGACGTCCGGTGCTCAGTCCAAAGTGTACATAGAGCTGCATTATTTCAATCCTGCTGTGACAAAGGCTCTGTGAAGGAGGTTGTGTTTGTGTATGAAGGACTTACATACACAGTGAAGACAAGAACCACCGATAGTTCAAATGTTAACAGCCAACAGATATTGCTGCAGGTTTATAGTTGTTTGTTTTCACTACTATTGGTTAATAACGCAGCCTGTGCCTTTGTCCACACATGTAGATACAATAAACGGAGCAGTGCTCAGAAGCAAGCAGTCAGGCACCCCTGATTTGGCCACAGCATTTAGTAGTTATACACCTTGCCATATGAACACAGGTTTTGTTAGAGGAGCATAATCTATCAATGAAGTACCTGGAAGAAGTTTGGCATGCATGGGGCATCAAAAGAAACTTGACTGCAGGTGCTAGTTACCCTACAGGATCACAGTGCATCAACAGCAACAGAGTAGAGCATTTGGGTGATGGACTTAAACAGTTCTGTCCGTCCCTGAGTGCTTTCTGACCACTTTGCTGCCGTGGACCTGATCCACTGCCAGGGTTTCCACCTGGGGCTGTGGTGGGGCGGGCGCCGCGTGGTGGATCCGATGGGCCACCCCGATATGCGCCTTGTGCGGCTTCTCGCGGGCCGGGCTCTGCGACTCCCTGGCCGCGCGGTCTGAAGCGATGGGTGGGATCACCAAGGGCCTCTCCTTCACAAGAGGCACCTCTGCTGTCTCCCTGGCCAGCAGGAACGGCGTGGGGTCAGGCATGGCATCCACGGGCTCCCGCAGCAGCAGCTTCCGGCTCTCCGCTCCGGCCCGATAGGCCTCCTCGAACTCGGGGTTGAGGGGCGTGGACAAACTCTTCTTCATCCTGCGCCGCGGAGTCTCCGGCAGTTTATCCTTGGGGGGGGACGGTTTGTAGCTGCACAGCACGGGGCTGCCAGAAGGGGTCCCCTCCGAAGTCCCACTTGAACTCATCAGCTTCTTCTTAGTGGCATGCAGCTGAGAAGTTAAATAAGCGATAGTGCTTGCTCTCTGCTCTAGTTCACTTGACAACATGTTGAGCTTATGGCTTTTCATTTTTAACTCTTCCAAATACTTCTTTTCTCTTTCTTTAATAGTGTTTTCCAGCACCATTATCATCGCATTCTTTTGTTCAAGTTCTTTCAGCAACTCATTATTTTCAGTCTCTTTGACTTTCAGCTGAGCTTCAAGATCTTCACACTTCCTCTTGAGTTCGTCGCTTCTTGAAATGCCAGTTCCTAAAAGAGCAGGAAAAGCAGAAGTGTTTCAAGTTAACATTAGCCCCTAAGTAAAACAGTGCAATAGGGTTCCTTTTGACATCCCAAAGCCATAAGAGAAAAGGTAATTTAAATAAAAGTCTCACTCTTCTGCCCTTAAATTTGTGTCCCCTGTTCCCATAGAGCATCCAGGGAACTGACTGTCTAGTGAGAGAGGAGCCAGCACTTTGCACTCTATTCCTGGCCCTTTAACAGATTTCCTGTGTGACCTTGTTAAGAACTTGTGACATTTACTTCATAAATAAGTAACTCTGGAAAGTAGAAAACCACTTTTATACCTGTAGAATTTATAAAGTCAACATCCCAAGTGCAAAGTACTCTCACCTGCTTGTAAAGGAGAAAATACAAGTGTTGAAAAAGCTGGAGAAGTTTAACATGAACATGAAAAGAAAAATGCTCTGCATTCCTTACCTGACAAGTCTGAACTCTTTACAGTCAGCTCATAGGTTAAATCTGAGGAAAAAAGTTGTTTATGTTCATTAGAACAACATCAGCTACCCCCTGCCCCACCTGCTGAGCATATTTACAATGGCATTCTTCAATAAAAATGTAACTCCCCCCACCCAAAGCAGTAGCAGCAGATCCTCTGCAAATCACCAGAGACGTAAAACAACCGGAACCACCGGGGGACGGTGCCTTTTTTTTTTCATAATAAAAAAGTCATCTTTGCTTAATGATGACACAGTTGTGCCCCCTGATCTGTGCTGATCACCCTGGTGGTGGGCTCTGCTCTGCTGCTGAGGCATGAGCAGGGACCCCCCAGCCTGGGGTACCTGTGCAGTGCTGCTGCAGGCGGCGGATCTCGGCGTGCAGCCCCCTCAGCGTGTTGGCGTGTTCCCGCTGCAGGAACAGCAGGTTCTTCTGGGCACTCTGCAGCTGGTTTTCCAGGTTTGGAGCTGCCATCTTGACATGCAGCTGCCCTGTCAGGAAACAGTTGTACAATTATAACAGTGAATGGTCTTGTTTGTAGAAAAATCCTCGCCCTACAACCCGGATCAGCAGCAATAGCCGAATGCTGCTGCTATGGAACTGGAATGAAATCAAGCAAATGCCAAAAGGCTTTCCTTGTGGAGCAGCCTTCCCAAACTAGGCTTGATCAGCAGAGCTCACCCTCAAAGCAAGAAAGGGTGAACTGTATGATGCTGAGGCATCCATGAAGACCCCTGCACTGCCAGCATCACTACTGCTCCTGCTAAGGCAACAATGGTTTCACATACACTGCTGAGAAACATCCCTCTGGTAGAGCTGGAGATAGACTCCCAAAGGAATTATCTGAAACAGAGGTAAAAATAGCTCCTCTCAGCAGGCACAGCCAGCTGCTTGCTGTGGAGAAGCATGCCCTGTGTCCCACAGCTCTCCTCTGTGACATTTAGAGGAGCACCTGGAGGAGCATCCAGAGGAGCACAAACAGGAGTTACTGGGTCCCTAGTGATATTTATTATGATTTAGACACGATTTAATTGTCCTATTTCCTAGTGATTATACAAATGAGAAAAACCCGCCGACAACAGCCCTCAGGCCTCCTGCAAGCTCAAAGCACAAAGTGACTCAGATGCTCTGTTAGTGGTTCTTGAATTTCACTGTGTGATCATTGCCCCTCTCTGCACACACCAGGACAGCTGGGGCACCTGGTGCTGCTCCCCATGCAGCTGGATTAGACAAGCTTAGTCTGCACAAGAAGAACTTTCCAGAAAGGTCATGTCCTTAATATCCCCACATTGCTGCACTTTAAATTTCTTTAGCAAGAAAGCTGCCATGCTTGGGAAGCTTTCTGAAAACTCTGGGAAGTCAGCCTTCTTCTTGGGCAGCTCAGGAGCAGAGACAGCACAGAAACAGGAACACAGACCAGTTCTAGAGAACCAGCCTAACGGGGACAACCAGGGACAGCAGTAGCACCTGCTGGGCAGGAATGACACACGCCATGGTGACAGAAATACTTTTTGGGGGACACAGCAGCACAGGAACTCTGTCACAGTCCCATACCTGCCCCAGCAACCCTCTAGCCAGGGAGGTAGAACACTGGTAAAGAGGCCAGGACAATGGGTGAAACACTGCTCTACAGGAGCATTAGCTTTGTCATTACTGTGCTAAAGGCTAAATTCAGTTATCTGTGCAGCTTTGTAAAAACAATTACAGTATTTAGGTTACAAAGATAAGTAAGGAATCAGGGCTCCTGTTGCCTGGACAACCATCTGCAGTGGCATTACAGTCAGGGTCTGTAATTATGGAGCCACATGTTGTCCCTCAGAGAGACCTTAATTCTGTCCCACAGCTGCCTCACAGGCACCTAAATGTGTCCATCTTGCCATGTCAAGTGTTTTCCATTGGGGTCTTTTTGGGAGGTAGTTTTATGACAAAAATTTGATTCTCCAAGATCCAGACTGGCAGAGCATACTCTCAAGAGAAAGTAACACACTTCTGTCGTGCCTAAACATAACTCAGCCTTCTGCTTAATGTTACACTTATACTTCAAAAAAGGACCCCAAACTCAGTGCTTCTGTGCCTTGGTAAAAGTTTGGGTGGTTTTTTTTGGGGGGGGGATAAACACACACTCACAGAGCCTTCCTGATGCTATGTGTGACCATAACTGACATCATCATCAACTGAATTATCCCTACAGAAAGACTTTCAAGGAATCCAGTGCTGTGCAAGGGCCAAAACAGAGTTCTTGGTTACTTTATAACAAAGATCAAAGATTAAACTCAGAGCTCAAGAAGAATGAGGGTAATGGTGCCAACTTGTGCATTGCCGAGAGAAACGGGTCATTTCACAGTCCTCATCATGAGCAAACAAGCAAAAATTATTGACCAAAAATATTCTAAAAAGTAATTTCTGGGTTGGCTAAGTAAGAAATAAACCCAATTGTGCACAGAGGCTCCTGCTGTGTGACTCCTAAAGAGCAGCTGACCTGAGCCTGAGCTGCACCCCTCGCTGCCCGTGGCAACATGGGGTTGCCTGAGGATGGATCCACAGCAATTCCTGTGTGCCACCACTCACTTTAAGGATTGATGATACTGTGTCACATTTTCAAAGTGACATCACCTTGCTTGCAGTGCTGACTTCAGACAGAAGTTTAACTGAATCATCCAGTTCCCTGAGTGATGGTTGTACTGTTACCGACTGAATGTGACAACCGAACACAACTGCAGCCCTCACCATGGCTGGGCTCAGCCTGCTCAGTGCACCAAGGCTCAGAAGGGATTTTAATCAATAAATATATTTTAAAAAAACCAAACCCTCTAAGCAGTGACAGTGCCAGCTGAAAGAACAGCCTACATACAATCCCTGAAGCCTTCACCATCGCAGTGGTTACTCATGATGGCTTTACGCCTGTAATTATTATCTGAACAGAAAAAGAATTCACCACCAGCAACAAGCACTAAGTGTTTAGAACTCAGTCCATGCAAAGAAATGAATTTTAAAAATACTATTCCTAAGCATCAGAAAAAGAAAAATGAGGCTGTCACTATTAAGGTCTTCAGTTACCTTTATCTCTTGCATCTTAAAGATCACACTGGGATTACATACTCTGAAGAAAACAAATGACCAGAGGCAGGCTGTAGCTTTATAGGCTTAGGAAGAAAATAAAAATTACCAGCATCAGAGCATCATCTTCCCTGCAGCACCCATCAGTTAATCAGTGAGAGCAATTAAATCAATCCACTCCGAAGTTTTGCTGCAGCTCCCCTGCACTAAGCAGTTCCTCTCCTCAGAGGATGAGGATGGGGGGCTGACTCGCCCACCAGCCCCTTCACCTTCCCGTGCTTTCCTCCCTCACAGCAGCCTTGCTGTCTGCTTATCCTCTCTCCTTTCCTTCCAGGGAAAGGGCTTGTGGTGAACTCACAGCTTGTCAGAGAGCACCTACAAACTGTGCAAGCCATGCACATGTGCTGTGGGAAACAGCCAAAACCACCTACCACAAAAGCAGGGAAAGGGGACAGTCTCTTGCAGTCACCACACAAAGACACTTCTTCTAGAAAATCTGCTCAGAGTTGTGCAAACTGGTATTAATAAGGATGCATTCCAAGCCACTCTTCATTTTGTACCTAATTTACACCAAATCTTAAATCGCAAAATTAGACCTAATATTAGTAAAGCTCAAGATCTAGATGAAATGGATCTTGACATGTATATGCATTATCTGTCAATCAGTTTCTGGCTAGAATGGTGTTTTGTGAGGTGGAATTTTTTTTTAATGAAGTGGCAGCATGAAAATACCCTGGGAAGTCATTCTATACAAATAGTTTTCTTTGAATAATTGGATTATTAGAACACTGAAGGCTTTTATTTGTTTCCCCCACTCAGTCTGTGTATTGTGCGCATTTCACAGCATTGTACAACTAATCAACCTCCTTGTTCATTCAGGTCATGTAAAGGTCAAAGGACATCATGCAAAAAAATATAAACTAATTTTAAAGCTAAAAACACTGGCAACTGTAAAAAAGTTAAATCATGCCCTGAAACTTCAAAACGCTATTAGAAATTAACAGCACCCCCTTAGTTCTGCACATACCATTAGTGAAAACTACTGTGATTGCATAAAACATTTTATCTGATGTTAAGTCTCAAAGTTTTAGCCAGTTGCCATTTTACAGACTCTCACTGAACTGACCAAGCATTTCTAAATAATGTCACTCTAATGATAAAATGCCCAACTGACAGACACTTAGCTGTTCTTTGCTTAGATCAGCTCCATCTCCAGAGACATATGCCATCCCAGAAGTGTTTGCTCAGCTTATTTCAAAGGACACAGTGAAGGGAACTCTGCCATCTCCACAGCCAACTCAGGGCTTTGCCATCTTCTTGCTTCGACACTTGCTTTAAGCCCCCCAACCTGATCCCATTATACTCCTCTAAAGTAGATCTCCCAATGTACAGTTCAAATAATAGCCTATTACACAGTTTCAGATTTATGTTTTCCCTCATTCCTCTGTGCTTCAGACTAAACCACTTTAACCAGTTCAATATTTCTTGAAGTTGTGCTTTCCAGACTGTAGGCTGGTCCTACACAACCACCTTCTGGATGTCCTTCCCTCCCCCAGTGCTCCCTTATCACTAATCAGTACATCCTACAGCTCTGTCTCCTTCCTCCTCTGCCTTCTGTGTTCAAGTATAACAATAATTATCCATAATTATTGTCCTGATAACTTGATTTCATATTCTTTCAGTGTGTGTGTTTTAAGCCAAGCAAAATGAGTAGTTCTTTCCTAGAGACAACTGAGGGGAAAAAGGAAACGTGCCACTCTCCTCCCAGAGGAAGGATATGATTTTGCTTTCTCAGCTCCATTTCTATTTCTAATGCTTTCTGATGCTATTTTACTTAGTTAATTCTCTGCCCCGCTTTCCTGTCATTTTCTGATCAGAGGTTCTGCAGACTCTTTACAGCTATCTCCGAGGTCCCTGAGGAAGCACAGGTTTGAGTATTTTAGTAGGAAAACATTTTTAGTTGCCCCAACAGCAATTGGTGTGGCAGCAGGAGGAGCCAGGAAGTGGACACACTGCTGGTAGCAATGATCCTGCTTGGTGCTCTGAATGAACAAGCTGGTGCTTTGCAGAGAAACTGCTGATGCCTGATGTGCCCGACTGTCTACCTGGAGTCATAAGGACTGACAGGAATTATTCACCTGGAGTTTTCTCTGTCCTTGAGACCACACAACCCCAGAGCTGTCACAATGGAAGCAGATTAAAAGTAATCAGATGTTAAGATCACTATCATGACAGAGACTATTAAAGAATCAAACCTAATGGTCCTGCATTGGCATTTTATACTGATACAATCATTCTGACCAGCACCAGGGTACCCAACACTGCACAGCTGACAATAAGACACAGCTCACCCTGGCATAAAACACTGAAAATGACATAATTTGGGCATAATTCACTTTCGGGAAACAAAGACGGTA